CCCAGACCTGAAATGATCAACAACACACGTCCTGGAACTAAATGCAAGATAAAGCCCTCTATGATGCTGAAGATGAGGCCCGCGACCCCGAGAGGCACATACCATGCTACTACCTGCAATGGACTGGCGGACATGATGTTCTGGAAGTATAGTGTGCCATATACAGAGAAGATGCCCCAGGTGCCGTAGAGCAGAAAGAGGGCCAGCAGGAGAGGGCTCATGCAAGGAGTGGTGAAGATCGAAGCCGGTAGAAGAGGATGAGTGGCGACGCGGACTTCGACGTAGACTGCGGCAAGAAGTGACAAGACACCAAGGCCGAAACATATTGGAATATATGGCGTCCTCCAACCTGAAGGAGCATGTGCTGATTGCAAGATGGAGAACACGACTAGGGTGAGGCCAGAGACGATCGTGATGGCGCCAGGGTAGTCCATTGCGACCTTGTTTGGGGCCTGACCCTCTAAATGAGGCCGCGGAATGGACAAGACTGAAGTCAACAGCGTGATTGCTGTCAGGATGGCACCGATCCAGAAGTAAAACCCCCAGCGGGTGAATTGACCTACGATGCCAGCCATGAGAATGCCACCGAAGAAGCCAAATACAGCTGAAGTACCATATACTGCAAAGACGAGATTCTTTCGCGGGCCAGGACGATACAAGGAGCCCATAAGCATGACTCCAGTAGGCAAGAAAGCGGCAGCTCCTAGCCCCTGCAGAGCCCGACACAAATCGAGCATTAGCGGATTGATGCTGAACCCGGCTATTACACTCCAGACAAGAAGCCAGCCAAGACCCCATATGAAGACGGGATAACCTCCCCACATGTCGCCCAGACGGCCAAAGACGAGTAAGGTGCTGGCGATGACTAGGGAGAAAGCGGTCGCTGGCCACACACTGGCTGCTTGGGGGATGTCGAGCTCTCTGATCAGAGTTGGGAGGATGACGGTAAAGCCCGAGACGAAGTATTCCGTGAGGAATTGAGACATGGAGATGCTGAAGACGAAGATTATCTCACTCCAACGGGTTGTAAAGATCGGAGGTCGTTCGCGGCCGAGACGTTCGATGCGTGCTTGGAGGGACTCGTCGGCTACGGATGATGATGCGGTAGTGTCATGGAGATCCAGCGACGGGTTGTTGTTTGGTGGAAGACCAACACCTTGAGCTAGAGCCCTGGGGCTGCATCCTCTCGACGGGACAGTTGGCTTTGTCGAGGGATGGCTGGGAAAACGCTGAACTGGTGATGAAGGTATTAATGGTTGTGCCATTGTCTGTCAAGAATCGATCCCCGAATATACAGAGATGTGTATGAGGAGTAGCAAGACTATGAAAAGAGGAGCGCAACTAATCTTAAACGATTTCTTCCAGCGTAAGTATTACACATTTGTAATCATAACGTATAAAGATGTGAATCTACGGACCATGGAGACTTGAGAATAGCCTAAGTCCACCGCTTACAGCCTCCAAGCGTTAGCCAGATACTGACACATGCTTGCCTGTACATGTTTCGCGTAGCCGTATCAAGAGGTGATGTCGTATCTGTCCTTCTTAGCAGTTATCGCCACGTTCCCTACTAACAACTAACCAAACCAGAATGATTTGGATATCTCCACAGCCTATCAGCTTCCATTATTATAAACTATTGAACTTGAAAACCACCTTCTTGCGATCCGAATCCCTGAGATATGTAAAGTTTACCGGCAAGGCGGCAGTGGATACTACGCTAATGCATGACAGGAGCCTTGGCTGCCCAGGTCGGGTTAGCCCAGGGCAATCTACCAGCATCTTGATTGCTTCAAGGTTCGTCCGCGATATGGAAAAAGCTAATTAATTACCGACTTGGTATGTTCATACCACATTTGCCGGTATCAAGATATCTGATTAGAAATCTAGAATTATTCAGCAGTCTCGTACAGGATGTATTTCTCGCAATCCCAGGCTGGCATATATTTGTGTCTTGACCTGTGATCTTGTCAACAAATTCACTCATTGACACAAGCCTTTCCTCTTCTTCACCTTCCATTTCCAATGCCACCACTAATACATTGCGTCCGCCATGGACAGGGCTTTCACAATGTTGGTGCCGGATGCTACACTCTTCCTGATCCTCGCCTGACTCCCTTGGGTGTAGAGCAGAACACGGCATTGCGAGAGACCACCTTCTCCGATCAGTCAAAGATATCTCTTGTCCTTGCTTCCCCCTTGTGCCGAACACTCCAATCTGCCTATCTCGTGTTTCAACCTGCCCTTCGTGGCAGTAGCAAGTGTTACCCTCAGATCATTGCCATCCCTGACGCGCAAGAAACCTCTGATGACCCGTGCGATATTGGAACAGATCCATCTGTTCTTCGTGAAGTCGTAGCCGAGAACAACTGGCCTGTCGACCTCTCTTTAGTCAAGGACGGTTGGAACGTGAAAGCTTTAGGGACTCGCTACAGTCCCGAAAGCAACGCCATAGCAGCCCGCGCCCGCGACGCCCGTATCTTCATCCGACAGCAGATCCAACAGCTTATAGCGCAAGGCGATACGGATCCTCAAGTTGCTCTTGTGACACATGGGGGTTTCCTGCACTATTTCACCGATGATTGGGAAGACTCATGGCTGAACCCTGGGACGGGATGGAAGAACTGTGAGACGCGATCCTACGTTTTCGAGCAAGATGTAATGAATGATACAGATGTGGAGGCTAGACTCACCGAGACGATGGAGAGTCGATCGAGAAGGGGAAAGGTCAGTCCGATGCCAGCTAAAGATGAACAGGAGGTGCTATTTGAGCAGGCGATGGAGAGTTGGGAGAAACAAGGGCTGCAGAGGCCTGATAGAATAGGAATAAATGTCGAAACGAGTGTGATTGCTTGACAGAAATCTGCATCGTGGATGCAAGGCTCGAACTCAACGATAAAGGATCAGGTAGAATAAACTTCCACAATATCCATCAATTCATTGTCTTCATTTCAAATCAATACCCATCTACAAGACATGTTGTTGCGTAGGAGATCTGCCTACTGCAGGGTACGGTGCACTGCGGCATGCAATCCCAACCATCCCATAGAATGCTGAACCAAGGATCCGATACTTGCGTCGGCGGGCGACCTCGTCAGTTGCTGGACTTGGAAATGCAGATTCTATCTACTATCATGACTACCTAGACGTGGTACTAGCGGTCTGCCCGCGTTCCCTGTCAGGAATTCTGTTTTGACATGCACGAATCCCGGGTCGAGATTGGCGACTTCACTCATGTGGCGGTCTACCCAGACAGTTCGTAAGAAGCAAGCCAGGAATCGCTGAGAACAGAATTAGATTCATAACTCATTTTCTGGTATCTTCTGATAATTCATTAATTAATATCTCCCCATCTAGAATGTTTATCATGTGGCATCATGGATTCGCTTTTACAAGACAGCAAAAAAGAGGAGTATCGACAACGTCATCGACTCAACTGACGAGTTATGACTGGATCTCTACGCGCTCCGCACAAGTTACACAGCAGCAAAACACAGTCTACCCCTCTTGTCCAAAAACAACAAACTTTAGTATATCTCATTAAATAATTATTTTTGTTTGTCTTTGCCATGGAGCGCTCACAATCTGATACCCTGCCTCTGGCGAATTCCGTTCAAATTCCCCAGCTTGGCTTCGGCGTGTACCTATCCCCACCCGAAGTTTGCACCAAGTCATGCCTCACTGCACTTGACGTTGGGTATCGCCACATCGACACGGCGCAGTACTACGCCAATGAAACAGAGGTTGGACAAGCCGTTCAAAAGTCAAACGTCGATCGGAAAGATGTTTTCTTGACTACCAAGATCCTCGAGGCTGCTGGCTCCGTGGACGCAAGCTACGCGAAATGCATTGAGAGCATTGACAAGCTTGATCCTGAGAGCGGTTACGTCGACCTTTTCCTCATTCACAGTCCCAATAGCGGCGCTGCGAAGAGAAAGGAGATGTGGCAGGCCCTGGAGAGGCTGTATGAGGAGGGAAAGGCCAAGAGCATCGGCGTGAGCAACTTTGGTATCAAGCACATCGAAGAGCTGAAGCAATTCGCCAAAGTTTGGCCTCCTCACGTCAATCAGATCGAGGTACGTTGCCAAATAATGCGTAGCATAAATACTAACAGGTATATCAGCTACATCCCTGGGCGCAGCAGAGAGACGCTGTGAAATACTGCGAAAAGAACAACATCGTAGTAGAAGCCTACGCTCCTCTCGTTCGCAACCAAAAGGCCGATGACAAAACCCTCAAAAGCATTGCCTCAAAGCACAATGTCTCTCCTAGCCAAGTATTAATCCGGTACTGTCTCCAGAAGAACTGGGTTCCGCTTCCAAAGAGCGATACGCCCGAGCGCATCAAAGCTAATGCAGATGTCTTCGGGTTTGATTTGGATGACAAGGATATGAAGGCACTGGATGCTCTGGACGAGGGCGCTGCGGGTGCAATTGTGCAAGCGGTGGATAATTATTGAATGCAGTGCAACTCGGTTTGTGATGAAATTGGTGCGAAGTTTCAGGTGTTGGGTCGCAGTGCAAGGATGTGATAGGGTGGATGTTACACTGAATCTTAACCTGAACTTTAGATCTCGAGATCTGGCTCATCTCTTCTTTGTTGATCTTAGAGATAAACGAGTTCTTAGCTTCTCATAGATCAATGTTTGCTTATACGCGTCATTGACTCAGATTCCTTTCAGGCACAATCTCGATAATCTCATGTCTCACCTTCGGGACCAACGTCGTGGCTTCAACAAAGCCTCACCGATACTTTCTCCAGGTAACACAGCATTCAGCTCATATTTGCTTTTTCGCACTCTAACACGCACTTTCCGACACGGAACCTAAACAAGCGTGAATAAAGCAAGGGATAAAATAATACTAAATAATGACTTCACATATTTAGGTCATGACGTGCACGAATCTCAACCCCTCTTTCTCCCGCCCTATTCATCCAGCCAACGACACTCAACCTCTTCTTCCCCCCCTAATACCACAATTTCCTGCAACACGACAAAAATGGCAGACAACGCAGCCAGGCGCAATGCCTATGCAACCCTCATCACCCGCGACTCGTACCTCCCCGGCGTCATCATCCTCGCCTACACCCTCCAGCGCAACGCCTCAATCTACCCTCTCGTCGTGCTCTACACGCCCAATCTCCCCAAAGATGCGAAGCGCGTTCTTGAGCTTGAGGCGCCAAAATGTAACATGATTTTGCGCGAGTGCGAGCATCTTCTCCCACCCGAAGGCGTGAAGATGACTCTTATCGCTGAGCGGTTTGCGGACACATGGACGAAGCTTCGTGTTTTCGAGCTGTTTGAGTATGATGCTGTCTGTTACCTTGACGCGGACATGGCGGTGCTGGATAACATGGATGTTGTGTTCAGGGTTGAAACGCATTTGCCTGATGATTGGATCGCAGCGAATCACGTTTGTGTCTGTAATCTTGATTCGGACTCTTGGGCGCCTGAGGATTGGAGGGCCGAGAATTGTGCTTACACGCCGCTTCAGCATCCCACAGCGCTTGAGGAGCCTCTGCAACCCACTGAGACGTCACCCTCACCTCACAAGCTTCTCAATGGTGGAATGTTCATCTTTCATCCTTCTGAGGGGCTCTGGGATAGGATGCTGCACGTGTTCAACACGACGCCGCTGCTTTCGTCGTTCATGTTTCCAGATCAGGACTTTCTGGCATTCTTCTTTGAGAATAAGTGGTATGCACTTGGATGGCAGTATAACGCTATCAAGACAATGCGATATTGGCATCCTAACATTTGGCGTGACGAGGAAGTTATCTGCCTGCACTATATCGTCGACAAGCCTTGGGCGAAGCGTGTTGGGTTAGATGGAGTCGCTGGGTATAAGGGCCTTGATGGGGTTACCCATTGCTGGTGGTGGCAGCTGTACCAGTACTGGGAGGATGAGAGGACTTCTGATGGACGTGGTGGAAATGAGGCGATTGCTCTTCTGAAGAAGCTCATTGCACCGGCGGACACGATGGAGGGAGGATTCGGGTATCTGCAGGTGGGATTACCTGTGAGGGCATGAATAAAGGCCATTTTCAGGCGTTAGATACAGAGAGGCGAAAACAAAGAGGTTGGGGCATCTGGGACCTGCATCGGGACTACAGGTAGAGTCTTGCCAGCAATGGGATGGGATTCAGATACATCAACATATGAGAGCAGAATAGCACAACCGAATGAATTTCATCATCATACAAACCTATCTCGAGACAAAGCTTCCCACTTTCAAGAACTAGACTACTCAACCTCCATCCAAGTGGCTTGCAGCTGCATTATCGTTTGCCAATCGCTCATCTTATTCGCGTCCGCCATCCCAGCATGCATGTTGTTCATCATATTCGCCGCCGTCACCCCATGCTCAGTCTCATAGTACCCAACAGAACTATTACCATGCAGGTACCCATCCGTAGTACCACTAATAGCTGCCATGCCATTCATACCTTGGTACATCAAGCTCAGTTGCCCCTGCTGCATAGCTTGCATCTGCTTCATCATCTGCATCTGTTGTATCATCTCGATATGGGGTACGGTCGCGTTGTACACTTGCACACGCCTTGATCCGAATGCCTTGAACTCATCCAGGGCCTTCTGTGACTCGGGTGATCCAGGAGACCCGGCGGCACAAGCTGCGAGCCACATGTTGCGCATTCTTGGAGACCATAGCTGACATATCAAGGTACGTTCGTCGTAAACCTCCTTGACGGGAACGGAATCTCCCAAGGGGGTATCGGCCACAAAATTCAACCAGCAGTCCTGACAGGCCAGAGCTTCCGGGTGTCCCCACCATTTACTCTTCCCTCTGTTCTTGATCCCTGGACATGGCGGCACTCCAGCCCATTTCTTGATGTAGTCAGAGTAGAGACTGAAAACACCTTTGTCAAGGGCTTCAGCGAACTTGGTGATGAAACTTCCCCATCGCGGAGTACCAGGACAAAAGTTGCAAATGATGTCGACAGTCTGGTCACGCTGGGCAGGCTCGAAGAATTTCTCGAGGCCAGACGTCTCCACGATTCCCTTATAACAAGCCTCACAGACATCATAGTCGGCGCATCCTCCAACAACAGTCCACCAATTGCCTCGCACGATGCCGTGAATTGTGCATGGGACAAGATCCGCGATCGCATTGGCGGCATTCCAGAAAACATCGAAGTCTCGGCGGTAGATGGCTGCTTCGAGTGCGATACTCATGCTAACAGCTGTATCAGTGAGCTTGCACTTCCATCTCTGACCAATCGACTCGACGAAGGCATCAAAACCTTCTGCACGGATGTGACGTTCGAATTCATTGCCGAATGGCGTTAGTGCAAGTTTATCCAGATAACATGCCTCGCAGATAGTCATGTCCTTGATCTTGCGACGCGGTAGCATCCAATGCCCACTGTTGGACTCTTCATCTCTACCTTCACACAGTGGAAGTTGAACTCGGACCTTTGCGGCCTCGACAAAGCCGTTCCAGTGATTTTGCTTTGCCATCTTGACTGCTGTTTTGGCGATGTAAGGTATGCACAAATCACACATCCACTTTTCATCTTGTCCTTGCTGGCGGTAAGGTTGGAAGCGAGATTCAAAGGCAGTGCCCACGACGTGATCCTCGTAGCAGGCATCGCACGATATGAATCCATCAATCTCGTCGTTGACCAGACCCCACCACTTGACCCCGTCCGCACCAGTCGTCCATACCCTGCCCTTACATGGCTTGAGGGTCAGGCTCTTCTCCATCCATGCCTGTAGAGGTCTGACGTCGTTGTTCTGGAGAGCCTGTGGCCAGAGTACCTCTCGTGCGCGAGGAGACCAGAAGCCGCACTTGGATTCTGTGCCCTCAGGCGAATGGTACCTCTCGAAGTGACCAGCGAGATGAGTGCTCTGAACATAGTCGGTATAGCACCTCGTGCAAATGAGATACTGTGGCACAGCAATAAAACGATACCAATCAAGCGAGTAGCTTACGGTTCTGTCTTCGGGACAGTATGGGAGAACGTCGCTGGACATACCAGTAGCTTGGCAGGGAGGCGGTCCCCGGGGCCCATCTTGTCGTGCGGCCCGGTCAGTATTGGATGCTGTTGGAGGGTGGCCACTATTTAGGACGTTCAGATTGCTCATTTGAGCAGACAGAGAAGCCACGGGATCTTGTTGGTAGCCATAAGCAGCGGGTTGGCTGTGTCCATAGTTCGTATTCGCCGGTGGCGGCTGGGAGTTTGGCGCCTCGGGAACAGGCTGGTACGGCTGGAACTGTTGACCCGGTACTGCCGGCGGGGGGGTTGGTTGTCCCTGGTTGATCGCGCCAGCTGGAGGCGGAAGATTAGGAGGCAACGTGTAATGCTGAGAAGTCGGAGGGATGGTAGCTGGGCCTTCGTGATGTTGCAAGTATTGTGACGGTGGAGCATGCTGTTCGACTGGTGGACTGTACGGTTGGAACTGGTTTGGCGCTGAGGCAGCGACAGGGTTTACATCATGCTGCGGTCGTTGCAGAGGTGGTGGAAGCGGGTAGCTGTGAGCCTGGCCTGGGGGGGCAATCGGTTGGCCAGGTGGACCTCCAGTCTGAGAGACTTGCGCCTGGTTCAGTGTATAATACTGTCCCTGTGGTACAGAAACGCCCTGAAAATGTGCCTGCTCATGTTGAGTTGCTGCCGCTGGACTAACGATCTGCTGCGCTGGTGGGCTCTGGTGTTGCTGGTGAGGTGACTGCGTTGCAGGAGGACCTTGTGGATGGCTCATGGGAGCACTCTGAACTAGCGGGGCAGGCACTGTATGCGTGGTCGGTGACACCCTCGAAGCGGCCATCGGGTCGTAAGGAGCAGGCACCTGCTGTTGCGGGTACCCTTGGGGAGGGGGGCTCTGATAGAGCTGCTGAGGTGGGATGACCTGTTGCGTGTTGTACGTAGCACTAGCTGGTACAGCTTGATACGGCGATACTTGACCAGCTTGTTGGGTCACTGTTGGGTCTTGAGGATTGGTTGTACCAGTTTGCTGGTGATACTGTGGCTGTTGCTGTAGAGCAGGAGAGCCATGGCTGGGAGGACCAACTGGGGGGTCGGATTGAGGAGCTGTCTGTGGTGGAGGCGGAGGCGATGACAATGTCGGATTGTACGAAGTACTTACATTGCCATGTTGTGCCCATGATCCCTGTTGTTGAAGCTGAGGAGGAGCACTCTGGTGCTGTTGATGCGGCGAAAGTGCTTGAGGAGGGTTCTGGCCGTACCCAGGTGAGGCGGCAGGGCCCGCTCCTTGTGGAAAAGATTGATGAGCAGGCGGCGCAGGTGTAGTCTGATACGGATTTGACTGCTGATGGTGCAAAACGGGCTGGGGATATGGCGAGACACCGGGTGGTGATTGAACCAGCGGCTGGGACACCGTGCCCTGTACGCTTGGGTGAACATTCGCCTGCGAAGGCTGGAATCCCGCACTGGGATGTTGAGCAGCCTCCAAGCGCTCTTGCCAGCTCAGGTGAGGTGGTTGACCAGGCGCACTTGGTTGTTGAGATGGCGATGTCGCTGGCCCTGCTTGGTGCTGAGACGGAGGGTAGCCTGGAGTAGCAGGCGGGACGCTCTGCTGCGGTGTCGGCGGTGCCTGATTGGCATAAGGCTGCTGGGGCGGAGTTTGGCCATACCCTTGCGGGAATGAGTTTGTTGGGCTCAAAGGCGTTTGCGTAGGATGCTGGGCAGGATTGTATGTCGGCTTCGGCGCCTCGCCAGTGTATGAGGTCCCAGAGCTTGCGGGGGCACCGGAAGGTGCGGAAGCGGGGTACTTTGACTTGATGTTGCTGGCAAGATTTCCAAGAATTCCCTTTCCTGATTTGAACAAGGATTGAGCAGTTGATTGCAGCTGGGCTTGAGTAGAGGGTCGAGTTGCAAATTGAGCGGCTTGTTGCTGGTACTGCTGCTGGTGCTGGGCAGGTGTTGGTGGGGCCGCGACACCGTAGGTCGTTGTCTGGTAGCTGGGCTGCGTGCCCGGCGTCTGTTGCTGAGAATATTGACCTTGCGGCGATTGAGCATGCTGAGCCTGGGGTGATTGCGCGGGCTGGTTCACTTGGTAGTGGCCCGGCGGAGGAGGTGACTGATAATGGTGCTGCTGGGCTGGTGTGTACTGCTGAGGCACGCCTTGCGGTGACTGCGCATACTGTGCTGGAGGCGGCTGCGGGGTTTGGTAGGCCTGCTGCGCGTTGCCTGGATGAGGCGATTGATAATTCGGTTGCTGGCCATGAACATATTGATGAGGCGGAGGTGAAGAGTATTGTTGAAGGTGAGGGGATTGAGCGTACTGCTGTGTTGGTGGTGGGGGACCTTGGTTAGGCACTCCCGGCCCAGGCGGCACCTGGTAACCGTTGTAGGGCGGGCCACTCGCCATCTTGATATCACAATCCTCAAAAAGCGCTTCGATAACTCTTATCACGCTACTACAGACACTTTCTCAATTTATTCATAGAATCGCCAAGCTTGGCTTTTTTGATGGGACAGATCACAGTTAAATATGGCTCCTCACGGGGAGAGTCCAGACCGGTCCACGCATTCAGCTGAAGCATTAGTCTCACATTCACGAGGCACAAAATACCACCAAAGAACGCCTTGTGAGCCCAAAGGCCTACGCTTAGTGGCGCTTGAGTGTTATTTTTGTAACAGCCCACCCTCGCTATGGTTACTCTAAAAAGTGCCAGCCGCATCAAGCAAAATTATGCTTAACCTGTCGGGTCAAAACAAGGTATCGCCAACACTCAGGTGATGCCTAAATAGAAGGGTATCAATTGCTCTATCAGTTCTTTCTATCGCGTTTCCGTGTTACACAAGAAATGCGCGGTTTAAAGGCTCACTGTGAGCTACATAGAATATCCAGTGATACAAACAAGCACCAAACATTGCATCCCCAAACCTCCAATTTCGTCCGGATGGTCAAATTCGCCGTAAATGCCGCGGTAAGATGGCTGATCTCCAGACATAAATCAAGCTTGAGGGTTAGCGTCCCCGAGTAGCATAGAAATTGGGATTCTCCCAGTCGAACGGTCTCTTTGGCCAACCGCACTGTTGCATGTTGCGATTGGTCCTTGTTCAGCTCGGCCATGGTGATTTGGGGTTTGTGTAACAGTGTTTTGTTGTGTTTTCTCAGGGCCATCTCGTTTATTCGCTATTGACTTGTCAATGTGGGCTTTTGCTTTTTCGGTCTCAGGAAGATATTGACGTGGTCCAGGAGGCAGATTCCGTGGGGTGCTGGTCGTGTTCCGACTCTTGAGAGCCTGAGGAGTCTCTTCGTCTGAATCATTCCCAGTGAGATCAATCACTTCAGGCAATGACTCTCCATGACGTTCTGGTCCGTTTATTGCCGCAAATCCCCGTGGTCTCGTACGCTGTCGAAGAACCCCCTTCGTGATCAAAAGTTCTCGCACATCACGCGCAAAATGGCTCGAGACACCAACCACCCAGAAGAGCTCGCCTTGCTCGTTCTTTTCCGTCTCCAACTTATAGTACATGTTTCCATATTCGTTCGTCAGTACATTGTAGAGCTTACTAAGAGACGTGATCTCTCTGCAAGGTATGCGTGTGCGGAAGTCAGACATTTTCGGATTGCAGTTGAGGAACATGCGCCATGCTTGAGTCCAGTGACCGGGCCTGAGGACTTTATATAGGAAACCATTTTCACTGATTCAATACACATGTACGTGGTGGTCTGTGATTAACGACTGAATGCAGCTTCTGAGTGAATGACTGTGTTGTCGCAACTCTGATCTGGTATTGTGAGATTTACCAGACGTTTCATGCATCCCACGCGGCAGTTTCGAGTATCACAGGTAATTTATATAATGACTGAAGGGCAGCAGACCGGAGCCTTTCGTGTTCATCTCATCTTGGTGCACTATCTGTCGGACCAAAGGTCCTATCTTAGTCTAAGTTATGCCTAAACTCTTGTGTGTTATGGAATAAGTTTAGACTATACTCTTAGACGAAGCTTGAAGTACTCACAGATGGGACATGCTCATCAGCAAGTTCGCCGAAGCTTTTGAAATCGTAGTAGGTGGTAGAACACATTATCATCTTTGGTCTGTCCCAACTCCAAACCTTCCTTCAATGGTCTCAACTGCCTCCGGTGGGAGAGAGAAGGCAGGCTCGACGGCTGCCTCACTTGCCGTCGATGTTGCACTTGCCCTTTCGACATCGTCACTGCCTTCCGCTTTGGCGTTTGTTATTCGAGTCACCTGCCGAGGCGATGAGACGAATACTTCTCTTCTTTAAACAACATCTCATCAAGAATCAAGAATCAAGAATCAAGAATCAAGAATCAAGAATCAAGAATCAAGAGCTTCTATTCTTTTCAAGCACCGCTATTGCAATCACATCAAACTTTATCATCACGACATGTCGTCTATTGTTCCATACGTCAATATCTACGAAGGCTTCTACCACGAGGCCTTCGCGCTTTATCAAGCTAATAAATTATGGACCCCGGAACTATACGCCGACGGCGAGATATTCGGAGAGCTCGCCCTGATGCCTTTAGATGCATTGCCACCCGCTACTTCTGTTACAAATAATTCGTCAAGTCAAAATATCACACCGCCGTCCGATGCCACGACCGCAGTCGAAGATGCAGCAGCTGCCACGGCGAACGACTACGGTCCCACATACATTTTCAGCGAATATGCATATCGAATTGAACACGGCTTCAATCGTGGGATCAAGTTGCAAGTACCCATGCCTCAGACTGGCCTGACGCTACTCCGTGACCACAAGACTCGTTCAACAGCAACCAAGCTTATCGTGCTGGTCGAAGTGCAAACTTACACCAAGTGGAGCTATGGATGGAATGTCACGTTTTCCGCCCGAAATCCATTCAGAGAATTCAACCGTGGCGGAGAATTCGAATCCGACAATGGCCGGCGCGCCGAAGTATGTGTGCATGCGTTTTGTGCAGCAATCGACTCGATCGTCGACTTCATCAACGATAACCGGTATCCGAAGCCCCAAATCTCGAATTTCTACGTGCGCGTCCCTCAGTTTGCGGATTCCAGGTATGCACTCCGCCGGCTTTTGCCCGAGGTGGAGCAAGGGGGTACATGTCTAGATGGTTTGCCGAGTTGGGTTCAACAGATGCATGTTGCACTTTCGCATACCGTCGTTCAGCTGCGAAAGCTAAGGGCACAAGGAGTTAATGTTAGGGTGTGGCAGAGCAGCAAGAGGCAGAGTAAATCAGTACCTTATCCTAGGCAATAGGCAGGAGTGGAAAGTATCGTAGGGTTGAAGCTGGGCATTAATAGACTGGTCTCGCGACTTTTATTCACTTTATAAAAAATCTCTCCCCTCAGAAGAGAAAGCCCATCTTATCAAAAGTACTAAGAACCTATATAAACTTAGTAAAGGGTCATAAAGAACACTAAGGACTTACATAACGTGTGTGAGGCGCGTGATGTGAACCATCAGCTGTAAGGTCTATCAACTGACTTACATAAGTTTAGTAAAGGTTCACTAAAATCTTCTAAACTTTCCAAGATTTTCGAAGTAAACCACATGATGGGCCTGTTTACTCGCAATCACAGCGACGCACGCACGTCTAGCCGGGCAGGGAATAGATCCAGCAGCTAACAAATCGCACATGAAATGACATTTCTGTATGTCTATATGTACACGTATATGGGTATAATGATTATAAGAAACAGTATTAATAAAAGGCGATTCTCATCTCTTCATCGCGTATGTATGATTCGACTCCTCAACCTCCTGAACGACATCATTCCGCACATAAATCCCCGCCATATCCTGCTCCCTCGAATGAAGCGACTCAGTAGTTCGACTTGAGATGAAAGTCCGAGGTCCCTCCTTTCCATCGACAATCTCAAACTCTCCATGGATCCCTTGTTCGGGGTCTGCAAGTTGATGAGTGGAGCTTGTCTCGTCTTCTTCTTTGTCCTTGTTGGTACGGTTGATGGTAGTGAGACGGATACCATGAGTAGTGCGGCTGATGGGGTGGCTACTTCCAGCAGAGCTGAGGAATCTCTTGGGAAGAATCTTGGTGAAGATTGGGCGGAGGAGAGGGAAGCATCCGGAGACGATGGCCACGTTGATCTCGACACCTCCCCACATGTCGTTTGTGGCGACGTCGCGGGGCATTTGTCTTGATGCGGGATCATATTGGAGGGCGGTGACGATGACGAAGACGGATGCAAGACAAACACTTTCTTTGTTAGTATAATACTGTGACATGATGGTGGAAAACTTACATGAAACCCAGGGCAAACAGGGCAGTGATGGCAATCTTTTGTCCCAGACGAAGTCGCAACTTAAACACTTCAATCACTGGAAGCGCCAAGATCACAACATCCAGAATAAAGTGAGTAAGACATGTCGCAAAGAAGAATTGTGAGTCGTTGATCTTGCAGACAGCGTTCTCAATCGACTTGTCCCAGTAAGCTTGAACTGGTATGCAATGGAAGATGACCATGAATGTACGGAGGATGAGCCAGGCGCCGCTGATGCCAAGCATAACCTGGATTGGGATTCGAATAGCTGATTGTTTGAAGATACGCCAGTAGAAGAGAAGAATAGACAGCTTTGATAGACCGATCGAGTATGAGTAGGTGAGGGAGATGAGGAACTGCATCAGTCGCGCGTGGAGGTTGATCTCTTCGTATCGTTCATCACTGACGGAGTCGGGAATAGTTGTGCCAAGGTACCATGTCAAGGCCCCTACATCAGTCAGCCTCTGTTCATATCATCAGAGCAAAGGGTAGTCTCACAGTATATCATCACAACATTGTATCCAATACCAACAACCTACAAACATTAAGCAACATCCCCAAAGGCTTCACAAACGATACTTACAAAGGCACCGACACACAAGTAGTCATCATACCACCAGGGAACCTTTGTCATGCGCCTCGCAAAGACACGCGCAATCAGCGCCAGCAAGGCCGATACCCACGTGATGACCATGGCACTGATGATATCCGACTTGAGGCTCATGACGGGCTATGATCCTGCGCTCCCGCAGGCTTGTCAAAACTAAACAGAACTTTGGACGAACTTTTGTTTTAGTTAAGTTAAGAAAAGCAACGCAAGGTGCAGGAGGAGTACACACACACGCCAGGCACGGATGTCCGTGGGAGTGATCTGCATTTGAAGAATGTCCCTTTCCACATGGTGCCTTGGCTGGTGAGGATCCTTGACGCTTATCTGTATGGGTCTAATCCGGGGAGAGAAAGGCGTTGGCTGAGGCTCTGGGGTAAAAGGGGACTGGACTTGGCTTCCAGAACAACTGACTCGTTGGCTACACCACCAGCTTTCTCGGCGGGTATGCTAACCGGAGTGCCATTGTGTGACTGACTGGACCAAGTCTAGCGTTAACTACAGGACAGTGGACCGGCGGAAATCGTCCGGGGGGGATGTTGGCAGGGCTGATCATCTCTGGGTCCCTGAGTGATTATGTCTGTTTAGGGAATATTCCCCTTGACGATCATCAATGACGTGACGTTAATTGAGTTAGGCTAACTGAGCAGACTGGCAAACGAATGGGAGACGATAATTGTTTGTCGGATACTCGGCCCTTTAGAACATGACTGGTTGATGAATTCACTGCAGACCTTCCAGAATCAGAAAAATGGCGTCGATAGCTGTCGCATTGATCAACAGCTTCATAATCGGCGTCTCACTGACCATTTCAGCAGGTGGGATAACGACGCCGTTGATTGCTCATACGAGGATTATTCTAGAAAAGGAAGCTCTGGAGAGGAAAATCACTCAACCCGCCCTTGGAGAACAAGATGGCCTCAGCTTCGACACTGGCTAGACTGGTAAGCCAGTGATGTACAGGGGCATCTGACCAACCCGGCCCGTAAGGTCGGTCCCGATTTTTCGGTTGTTCTAGCAGAAACTCTGTGAAATTTAATCCGACGCGCTGAAACAGCATCTCACCTATCACCATCACTGCACCACGCCCTATCATCCATCGTGGCGCCACGTCTGCTTGTAGTGCGTCAATATTTAGCGCGCTGGGACCAGTGGCTGATCCCTAGGCTTTACCACCTACTGCTTCTGGAGTTAGTGCGTACCCTGGACAGGCATTAACCAACAGCCTCTGTCTTATCTTTTTTGTGATCTTGACCGTTTTCTGTTGTAATGTCATGATTTATTTCCGGCTAACGCACGCCATCGCTCTCGCTCTCTCCGCGGTATGGCACTATGAACTGCACTGCTCACGACTATTGAGACTCTGGGTTGCATTCCAGCCCTGTAGGAATCAGGCTAATGATTGACCTTGCATAACAGCGTTACAGTCGCTTCGAGCTGAGCATGCCAAGTTTACTCCATAGATTGAGTTGTGTAGCACCAACCTTTGCATCGCCTAGAGCGCTGAAAGCTGAACCCTGCAGCATGAGATTGGGGAACCTGGATTATCGTCCCACTTCCCCTGGACCAAACAGATGAAAAATGATTCTAGACTCTCGTTTATCGTCCTGTCAAATTTGACCAAAAGATGATCTTCCTAGTTTCTGGAATATTTATGACATGATAGTTTCTCCAATGTATTGAAAATGGTAAAGCATGCGAGGCGAGGTTACTTGCACATGATAGATTCCAGCGGAGCAAGGGCACAGATGACAGATTTCAGCGGAGTAGAACCCCAGACCCATAGAAAGATAACGATGGAGATGGGGACACTTCCACTTCCCCTCGTCCGTAGTGGACCATGTCGTAAGTGTTGCTTGGCATGTTCCACGTCTGCATCCAGAAACTCGTCTGTCGAAAATGAAGTCAAGACGATGCTTGATCTACCAGTCAAACCACTCATATTCGTTACTCAGCAGATTAGTTGGTGAATCAATGAACCGGTGTTACAAATGGTCAGTATCCTTTCCCTCTTCGCTCTAGAGCGTCTTGTCATCAACGCTTGGACCGTGATAAGGGCGTCGATCCCTATCGCAAGCGCGTCATGAACATTGTCAATCAGACACAATCAGCATCTTTATTGACTCCTGTCGGCCCGAACCATATCTGATACATGAGCCCACAGTCCGAGCAATCTCATTCTCTCCATCTTATCGCCCAATCCCCCTTTGCAAAGCTCGGTTCCACGATTTTCCCTGCCATCACTGCCTCACAGAGACGCTTCTCGCCTTCGTCGCTGACAGTGAACCCAAAAATAACACCGCGTCGGGCGGCGCACTTTGTCATTTCCCGTTCCTTCGCGCGTTTCTGGCCCTGTCTTCGCTTCTCGAGCATCGCGTCTGTTTCGTGGATTCGCTCTGCTCGGCCTTTTTCGCCGCCGACACTGCCGTTGACTTCGGAGACGGATTGAGGTGGGCGGATGCGAGTTCCGCTGCGGACTGACATGCGGGCGAGAACGTCGCCGTCGATGCGATTGTCGTCTTTGATGTTGCCTGAGAGATCCATATCTTCTGATGATCGCGGCTCCGATGGCGCTTGCGCTTGCGTTTGTTCGCTTCCATCCGCGTCCTCCTCGTCGCTGTGATGTTCTTCAATATCTCCCTCCATTGACGTTCGGTTCGGTCCAAAGACCAGTTCCTCTGCTGCGCTGCAGGGCACCAAGATCCGATTGTCGCCTTTGCTGTTCTTCCCTTTCTTATGCTTGCCACCTTTTGCCTGCTTCTTTACCTCATCTGCGGTGCTCTCTTCGGCCGTCAATAATTTGACAAAGGCTTTCTCCAGCTCACGGTCCAGCTTTCCGGGCTTCTGTGTGCGACATCGGCTCGAGCAGTACTTGGCTGGCGTATTGGTATTTGCTGTCGCAGTAGTTCGTCTCGTGCTAATCACTCTGCCGCATGAATGGCAATACGGAGTCGCTTCGCCTCCGGGTAACAAGTAGAAGGGTGCTGGTGTTGCTTGTGATTTGGAGGGTCGACTCCAGCTGTCCATCCAACTCATCTTGACAGGCTCCGATGACCTTCGTTGTAGGTGGTGCTGCGTAGAGAAATGTCTGCAGTTTTGTCTGAACGCGTAAAGTGTTACTGGGTGTAGTCTTTGAACGTGTTTCACGCAAATCATGTCGCTCCAAGATTTGCTAGGATGAAAATGCAGTTCGGGTTGAGCGATGGATATGGTGGTGATGATGTCATTGTCGTCATCGAGCGCTGCGAAACGATCCAAGTCAATCAACATTTATTGGCATTACGACACAGCGATACTAGTTTCTGCCGTGAAAGAATCACTACCGATTGCGGTAAGACATTTGATATTATTGGAAATCTCTGTACAAAATATTATCTTGAGCTCTCATTCAAGTCTAGGGTAATCCAGCACTAATCTTTGACAGCATTTTCAGCTCAAATATTCAGCTCTGTCTAATTTAAATTTACACCTAGATATATCTAGATTCTTAAGTATAAGTGTCTCGACTAGTGGAAAGTTTTACGTTGGCATCTTTCGACAGGGTTTCTATTGCTTTCTGATGATTGGAGTGCAACGCAAAATGATGACGAAGCTTCAAGCTGCCCGTCAGATAAGAACTTGCTGGTATCTGGATATGACCAACGAAAAGATGAAGATAGATTAGTTGGAAGAACAATCATTCAATCCTGGTTAAAAATGTTTTTTCTGACAATTACAGTGAAGCTAAACAAATGTCACTAAATGAGGTATAAGAGATGTTGGATTGAGATAAAAGGCGCCTTTGGGTAAGATGCAGAAAAATGAAGTTAAAAGATTAAATGCAATCCCTATGCCAAAAGATGTAAAAAGAAAATAGAATAACAGAAATACACCGAGAAATGAGATTGAACGACACTTTACTGTGTAACGACAAGAGTACTCGCAACACTTGGTACACCTGCCGAGTTGATAACGAACAACATCCAGTACCCAGGCAAAGCAATACCAGAGTCGCTTGGAACCTGGAACGAATAGCTGTTCCCACTTCCAGCCCTTCTCAGACTCAAAGGAATACGACGCTGGTCAGTGTTTACTGTATGTGTTGATGTACCGTATCGGATCAACGAAGCCTGCTTGATGCTGATATCTGTCGAGATTGTGATCTTGCCACCGACCTTGACACTCTTAGCAGAGACTTTGGTGATCTTGGGACGTGTTGCAAGTTTTCCACTAGAATCGTACAGATTGTTTGGTGTATAGATCTGGGCATCGAAATGGTTGGTGTCGCAATCGCCGCAAAGACCACCACCACCATTGAAAACTCTGCCGTCGGGAAGTAATAAGGAAATACTGTGGTAGACTCGGACGATGGAGTTTGGTTGCTGTTTGTAGAAAGTGTCATCGTTGGGGACATAGAGCTCTGGTGTAAGCTGGGGAGTGGAGTCGGCGAAAGGAATGCCACGCTGTTGACCACCAGTGATGAATACGTTTCCGTCGGGGAGAATGACAGAAGTGTGAAAGGTTCGTGGGTAATACAGGCCATTACTAGCAAATACTGTCTTGGGTGTGCTTCCGGGCTCGCCGATTGTTATGATGTGAGCGTTGGTCGTGGCATCAGAGTCTTGATAGCTTGGGGAACCGCCAAATGTAAGGATCTTTCCTTTGACTGCATCATACATAACAGCGTTTCCGCACATAGCATCTGGATCAGTGCCGCGGCTAGACTGGCGCTTGCCTGCTGACTTTGTATTGCCGTTTCCACTGGTATAATACCAGTTCATAGCAGTGCTAGGTCCGGCTTGAAATACAGAACCCTTCTTCCAGCCGAAGAGCCATCCGTGGTTATCCGAACGATAGAGGCCTTGTTGATCGGCAGTCAACATTGGCTTAACCAAAGCTCCAGGAAGTGACGTCCATGTTTTCGAAGATGGGTCATAGACTTCGCCATTCTTCTCAAAAATACCACCGCTCCATGACCCGCCGATAGTAAATACGCGACCATTCGATAGAGTTGCTGATGACTGGTATCCACGGGCTACCTTCATATCAGGGCCTGGGATCCAGCTATCACTAGAGGAGTCATAGAGACTTGTTTTCTCAGCGTTATTTCCACCAGTGACAACAACCTGCCCGTTTCCATCCATAGAGATACCAGGGCAAAACATATCGTGCTTGGTGACAGTCACTGTGCGTTGAGAAATCACACCCGTAGAAGGATCCCAAGTCGAGGTCAAGGTTACGCCACCAGGGGAGCCTCCGAACGCATCGTTGCGGTAGGAGGACCAAACCAGAACCTTTCCAGATGTTGGCTCAACAGCAGCAGCTACTGGAACAATAGGGAAGTCCAGTGTCGGGCCCCAGCGTCCAAGGCCGGGTTGAGGGCTGGCATAAGAAGCTGCCTTGAAGACGTTGATCTCGGCGATACTGGTCCAAGGCTGGTCGTTTGCTTCAGTGACAGCGACAAGACGGACGTAACGAGCAGGACGGGTCTCAAAGTTAGAGTATTTCTCAGTGTTGTCAGCGAACCAAGTTCCAGTCGCGACAGCGTCGCCCCAGTTCTTCCCATCTGTGCTGAGAAAGACGTTGTGACGGCCGATCCAGCCGTGATCACTACCGTCCTGTCGAGGAAGAACAGACAAACCGTTCACATTCTGAGAAGAGCCCATGTCAATGGTGATGGTATGAGGAGGCTTTGGGTCATTGGTGCCTCCAGCGGCCCAATTAGTATGCCAGAAGGTGTTGCTGTCACCATCAATGGCCTTGGAACACTCATCTCCCTCATGCTGGCTATCGCAGGTGACTTTCCATTTGTCGCGATTGATAGCAGTGCCGATGGGAGCTGAGGCTCTAAGACTCAAGAATTGCAAGGATCCTTCGGGGGTCTCAGCTTTTGAAGCCGGCTGGGTGATAGCGACAGCGCTAGCGCTCCCAAGATACAAAGCAAGTGTCCAAAAGGACTTCATTGTAGCGAAAGGAATAGAAAAGAACGATAATTGTAAGGTGTGGAGAAGAAGAAAGGTGGATGAATGGAATGGACTGGACTGGAAGCATCAGCAATTTGATCGAAGGACATCATGTTATTTATTGATTACTCTTCTGGTACAAGTTTGTTCTAGCAGAACTGACATCAGACGCACAGCCGAGCCGGTAGATCCATCGCACCGCAGGCATCACACCTACCGTACCGTGCTTTCAGCTCACATGGTTCAGTTCAGCTGGGCGGATCGAGGCAACTACATTCAATATCGGGTTTACGAAGCCAGTCCTTCAATTGGCCAGCAAAGTTCAAAGTATACTAAGAAAAGAAAAGGGTCTCCTCGTATTGGCTTACAGGTTGGTTACACAACAGAATGAGGCCCACCTGGGCCTGTTTTGTTTCAGGTCAGGTCAAATGCTGCACAGCGTCTGAGCGCATAAACTTCAACCTATTGAGTTAGAGTGGTAAGAGAAAACAAGACTAAAACTCGACGGGAAGATCGACGGATGAGATTTTGGCTCCACGATGTTTAATTAGTTCAAGCCACAACGGCCATTTCCCCTGACTTGTTGCATATCAGCGTCATGCAAATGTGAGACTCTGGAGAAATTGCTACGACAGTTATGACAAGAGACTGTGAAAATAAATAGCCATCTTGAATCGACAGTCAAGAACCGATCTCTCTAGTTTAGCATGTAGCTAGCAGTATTTGCATGATGTAATTGTTACTCTTAGCTGTTGGACTATCGATTGTGGCTTCAAAAAGTTCGGTACTTTTTAACACTAAGCTATCAAGCTGGAGCTTGGATGCCGTGATTTCCCAGTTCGCTTGACAGCCGAGGTAGAGCATGACAAAGAACCGTCAGATGACAGGAGTGACGATAGTCTAAAGTTGGAGACTGCACATGTGACGATCCTCTAGAGATGAAGCTTACGACAAGTGCCAGAATATATGAACTGCAGCATCCGCAGCCAAGGACCTTTTGTTGTTCCCGTGATTGGTTGCCATTGCATCGTAGGCCGTTTACATAACCTGTAAGACTGCGACAATAAATTCAGGCTACGTGAGCCGGGCTATTTGGACTGGAAGTGCCTAGCATGTCTTTGCAATTAGAAACCATCCACTTTGACAACTCGAGTCTCGCGATACTCGAAATGGAAAGCCCCGATGCTCTACAGAAACAATTCAAGGCTAAATAATTATCATAAGCAGGCAAATCCATTCAAGGATCCGTATGCTGATGCAAAGTCAGCAAGAATCTGACAAGAGATTCGCTACGCCGCTTGGCGTCAGCACTATTTCTATGCTTCAATATTATGTGAGCTTAAAAACCGACTGCTCCCCAATCTCGCAGGATCAAGGACTTTCTGACTTACTGCAATTTAATCTATCCGACCCTTTTTTGTCGCTAGCTGTGGCGATGCGCTTCCTTACGGATTCTCGTGGCCTGGGTGACCCAAACTCTGAGGAGGTGCCTCTCCTTGTCATCGGGGCTGGGCTCCCTCGCGCTGCCACATCATCAATGCAGGCGGCTTTTGAGAAGCTAGGCTGCGGACCATGCATGCACATGGCAGAGGTCCTCCCCCATCCTTCGCGTTTACGCCTCTTCATCGCCGCGCTGCGCGAGAAGAATCCCGAAGTTCGACAAAAGATGGTCAAGCAACTCATTCACGGCCATCGTTCCATCTGCGATCTTCCCGTCGTGTACTTCACACCAGACATGATGGACGCATATCCAGATGCCAAGATTGTGCTCAACCAAAGACCTGACCCTGAAGTCTGGGCCAAGAGTGCTGAGGAGAGCTTCTGGTTCTTCTTCAGTCCTTGGTTCTACTGGGTTGGTCTGCTCTGGTCTTCTGACCGAATGTGGTATACACTCAACATGGAGAGCATCAAGTTGTGCAAGGAGAAGTATGGTTCAGCTAATATTTTCTCGGCGGAAATGTATAACATGTATAACGAGGACGTGCTGGCGGAGGCGACGAAGAGGAATCGAGAGGTTCTCCAGTTCAAGGCAGAGGACGGATGGGCGCCTCTTTGCAAATTCTTGGGCAAAGACGTTCCGAATGAACCTTTTCCTCGATTGAATGAGAAAAAGACCTTCCAGATCGTGAAATATGTATTCATCGCGAAGGGGCTTTTGTCTTGGGTTGCCCTTTTCGGCGCCACGTGGGGACTTTGGAGAGTCGCGTCGTGGTACATGTAACTCTATGCGTGCATTCAGCCACGACTGTCAAATAAATAGAGTAAATATAAAATCGTCGTTTTAAAAAGCAAAAAATGAATCGCTTGTTATGCTAACTGGAGGGTTCGAACCTCCGCGGTTTCCCACTGCGGGTTTGGTTTCTGATAAGAACCTAAACACAGCGCCTTAACCACTCGGCCAAGTTAGCGATGATGATTCGGGTGGATTTAATGCTCGTCAATAAGCACCAAGAGTTAATGTTTAATTCATCATGAAGATATGGAAGAACCTCAAGCTACCAAATGCCGACTTTATTGCCAAGAGAAATGCTGGGAGACCATATGAAGGTCATTCTCATATTTGTGCGAAGACTTGATGGGATTTGAATGCATAGGGGACTTTGAAGCGGGCAAGCTGGTAGAGCTTCAGATAATCGACACAAGACACAACACAAGGGCAATGTCGTAGCAACATCTATCTCGAATTTCTGTATCTTATCATTTACTCATAAAATCTATCAATCTTGTTCATAGCGGCTCCAATAAGAATCCAAAAGTTGTCTCCTCAGTCTTAACCATGAGGTCTTCACGAACAGCGGGTCCACAAGCACCCGATCCAACACCAGCAACCTTACTATCCAGTCTGATAAACACCGCATCATCCTCCTTTAAGTCAGGAGGATGTCTAGCCTCATGAATAGTTGTATCCCTATGATGCGATGCCAGGAAGCTGAAATTCTTTCCATCCAATCGTGTCGCACGTAGTCCGATGCTAGGAGACTTGGAGTCCCGAAGGGAAACCCACCGCGTGTCTTCTCTGTTACCATTCTCTTGAGGAACGTCGTAAGGAGTCTGGAGCTCAGAAACAGACTCGGCGTTCCAGATCCCAACGCGTTGGGAATCCTTCTTGTCGGGATAGCTTTCTCCAGGTCCGCGGCCGAGCCACTTGACATGCTCGAGGGTCTTACTACCATAGAGGTTGAGGCCAATTCTGGGGACGTGCTCTGGGAAAGAACCTGTTGGTGATAGGCGTGTGACGTTGACACTGAGGGCTCCAGTGAGGTAAACTGTATACTCGATCTCACAGTCCCATCCCCAGAACAGAACTGGAGGAGTGATGAAGGTATGTGACTTCACAACCACCTTGTCTGTGCTGGAGGCGTCAACGGAGAAGGATCGAAGTTGAGATTGTAGTTGCTCAACGCCAAATCGCTCCCAGTAGGGAACGGCTCCAGGGACGTCGTTGTCGGTCTTGGGGCGCCAGAACGATGGGATGATTGCAGCCTGGGTCTTGGGGTCGAAGGTAAGGATAGTTACGTTGTTTGAGACCCAGCTTTTCAGAGCACCATAAGCGCGATCAAAGGCAAACTCAAAGTTCTTGCCAACGACTGATACAGTAGCGCCCTTCTCAGTCACAGACAGCTTAGAAGTAAGAGTGTTGCTTGCGGCGAGAGCAGCCTTGGCATCAGTCTGGGGAGCTTGGAGCTGCTGCTGATACCAAGCAATCTCGTGGCCAGCGGGTGCCCAAGCTGTGGAGTGCTTGAGGGATAGTGTCACTGTCAGATAAACCTCGCTATCTTTGTTGTATCGCTTGGCGTCGACTGGAAGAGATACAGAACGTGTCTCGCCAGCTGGAACCTCAGGGATGTCGAATGACCCGGAGTGGATCAGTGTTGACCTATTTCATTGTTAGCGTCCTCCAGTTTGAAGTTACTTGGATGGAAATATACTCACTCTTGACCGAACTGCTCCACCTTGTAAGATGCAGTCAGGTGGTCCAGACCAGCAAAGTCATGCCAGTTCTCAATCTTCAGCTCTCCATCCTTGAAAGAGAACCCAACAGGTTGGATAACCTTCTTGAATTCTGTTAGACCAGGTGTAGGCTCATGCTGACTGTTCAGAAGACCATCCATGACGAAGGTCCCGTCGTTAGGTGTATCTCCAAAGTCACCGCCGTAAGCGTAATAGCCTGCTCCCTCGTGGTCATCCTTCCACAGACCGTGGTTTGCCCACTCCCAGATGAAACCACCTTGAAGACGAGGATAGTCGCGGAAGGCTTGCTCGTAGTCTTCTAACCAACCGGGTCCGTTACCCATAGCATGTCCATACTCGCAGAGAACGATGGGCTTATCGTACTTGCCGTCCTTGACACCCTCTTCTTCGGCGTACTTGATCAAGCGATCAACCGTGGGATACATATAACTATACATGTGTGTCGTCTCGGCCTCCATATCACCCTCATAGTGAATAAGTCTTGAGGGATCAGCTTCTGTAGCATACTTGAACATCTCTCTGTGGTTGTCACCGTAGAAAGCCTCGTTACCAAAACTCCACATGATAACACTGGCGTGATTCTTATCTCGGTTAAGAACAGCCCGGATACGGTCAAGGTAAGCGTCCTTCCACTTGGGGTTGTTGGAGGTGAACTCAGCAGCCTTTCCGAAAGCAAGCTTCTTCCGCTCGCCGTAGTCCATTGACTCAGGAATGTCAAGAGGTCTAGCAACAGCATCGTAGAAGCCGTGGCACTCGAGGTCAGCCTCCGCCATGACCCAGAGACCATACTCGTCGCAGAGATCAAGAACGCGAGGGTCATGAGGCTGGTGGGCGCAACGAAGAGCGTTGATGTTGTGCTTCTTCATAATGAGAAGATCACGCTTGGCGAATTCCAGAGGAACAGAGCGGCCGAGAAGAGGGTGATGTTCGTGACGGTTGACACCTCGGAGGCGAATGCGTTTACCATTGACCTTCATCAGGCCATCCTTTAGCTCGACCGTCCTGAAACCAACGCGTTGCTGGACTTTGTGAAGAACAGTCTGTTTGTCTTCAGACTTGAGAGTTATCTCTGCTGAATACAGGTATGGAGTCTCCGCTGTCCATTTCTTTGGATCCTTGACATCAAGGCTGAGAGTAGCTTTTGACTGTCCATTGAAAGAGGTCTCAGTAGACCCAATGACAGCTCCTCCGTTCTTTGCAAGCTCAGAGACTGTGAGCTCGACAATGACGCCCTTTTGAGCAGAGACATCAACAGATGCGCTTAGACGGGCGTTCTTGTAATCAGCGTCAAGATGTGGCGTGAGAAAGAAATCATCGATTCTGGCAGCTGGGAAGGAAATGAGATACACATCTCGGAAGATGCCTGAAAGGATTAGTTATCGGTGAAGTTGTTGGTTTTGGGCGCTACTAACCTGACAGCCACCATTGGTCTTGATCTTCGATGTATGTCGCATCAGACCATTGATAAACCCTCACAAAGAGCTCATTTGGGCCATCGCGGTTGACAAACGAAGAAACGTCAAATTCAGAAGGATTTCTTGAACCTTGAGCGTATCCGATCAGGGTGCCGTTCACCCAAATATGATAAGCGCTATCAACGCCGTCAAAGCGCAATCTCAGCTGAGAATCCGCAGCCCAACCCGCCGGGACATGAAATTCTCGACGATAAGTTCCCGTAGGATTCTCAGTAGGAACATATGGCGGGCAGACAGGAATAGGATACTGAACGTTGGTGTACCAGGGCTTTCCGTGGCCTTGAAGCTGCCAATGGCCAGGGACCTGGATCTGACCGTAAGCGACATCTTTTGCACCTGGTTCAGGTGCTTCAAGAACTGTGCCAGCGAGAGAAAAGTCCCATGTTCCGTTCAGTGAGATTGAGGTATCAGGAATATGATACGAACGGGTTGGGAGAGTGTTTCTCCTAAAGACAGCTTCGTTGATGTAGTCCGGGCGGGAGGGATCCTCTTGGAGAGTGATGCCCTTTGGCTCGTGCTGAATGCTGTCTCCCATTTTGACGATGAAAGAAAGGTGACTGAAATAGATCGAAAGACTAAGTCTCAGGAAAGATTGGACTTTTATCTTGTAATTCTTCCTCCGCGATAGCACAGCCCCCGCATCGTGATACAACTTGGTCCTTACTCAACACGTGCTTCGGATTGACTCTCGGGGAAGAGAGGACTCCACTAGAATCCATGATAGGTGCGGGTACATGGCTCGATTGGTGTTGATCTTGTCTTGTTTAGTGGAACAGCCTGAATGCACCAGATCGTATTGGGGTTAGAGGGTAACAGTCCGGGGATGTCGGAGCCGGAGCGGGGCAAGACTTGGAGGGCTTGGCTGACTATCCGAGGCATAAGAAAATTGTTACGCTCCCTCCACGTCCGACCTCATGGGGGCAGTGATGGGATAAAATAGCTTAGCTATAGTTAGAAGACGTTTAAATTAGGTGTAATTGAGTAGTAGACAAACAAGAGTAATGAAATCCGACCCAAGTCTGGGAGTGTACTCGGGTTAGGCTGATATGAAGTATTAACCCTACCCACTGAAGCGATGAAACATGCCAGCAAGTTTGTACATAACTTAAGATACTTATAAGTGATAACGTGCAGTATTTCTTAAAAGCATGTTATTCCATTGGTTACGCCAGTGAGCCTCCCTACTTCTCTCGGTATGGTTGGGGGCCTCTAGACTGGCAAACTAGAGGACATGTTTGCATATCCAAATCTATTATTAGGAAGACAAGCAGGCTTCTACCCCCTATATCACAGTCTAGAGATGCGGTCCACTATTAGGGCTGAAGTGTCCTTGGCGTTGGTGTCAGATGTCAAGTTAGTCCTTCGTTGAAGTGTATCGCTGAATATTACCCAGATACAGCAGCCGTTTCTAATATCTACAGCATTGCATTTTCAAAGGTATGGTAGAGTCTAGGCACATATCTTTACCATATTGTCTGCGCCAGGTACAATAGAATAAAGAACCCCCCAATAGCTGTCGAACACCTGGCGTGATTTTGTGAGAACTAGGTGCCAGAGATCAACAACAGCTAAGCAACTACTCCATAATTGGTCGGGCTACAGAATGCAAAGAAATGATTGCTTGGCTGCAAACGGTATTTACCACTGGAAATCAGTTTGCATCTGAAATATGTAGGTATTTACTCAAAACGTTACCTTTCTAATTATATAAATAAGAAAACAGCGATCGCTTGCGATAAGATAAGGCCGATATGTGATTATGTGGCCGCGTTTCACATTAAAGTTGCCGAACTTCCGAGATGGAGAGATACTGCACTATCGACCAATGGACTGTTCATTTTCGAGCATGTTGGTTCGAATATTCATGGACCTCGTAAGTGACAACGCGTTTCCAACCAAACAAGGTCTCCACTGCCGGATATCCGGCACATATCGCCTGGCATAGCCCCGTTTGCACATGTCATATCACGAGTACCTTTCGCCCATTTCTTCGACTTTCATCAACAAAATACCGCTAATCCAGCCACAAAACCCTTGGAATACCACCTGACATATTGTGATGTCACCAAACATTTCTTTCGACTCCGGCACTATCGATAGATTCAACCGGGCAGCTGCCGGGTATATCGTGCCTCTCCTTCTCCTAGTCACGAATCTGATTACATACATCAACAAAGATGCATCCAAAGCTTATGATCTTACTTTTCTTAACGTCTTTGCCAACCTCTATTTGCTTGGAGCCTATCTTAGAGGCGACAGGTTCGGCTAATGACCCCCGGCCAAGTGCTGTGAACCAGGAGATGCATCTTGAGTTGCTTCAAGCACTGGAACAGCTGCAGCATGGCGAACCGGAGAATACGGTGCCCGAGAAACGGAAATCTGTTAGTAATACCGGATTTCTGTATATTAACAAAGTATTGACTGAGCTTTAGATATATGAACGTGCATGGGATGCTATTGCGCCGTCTCATGAGTTTAACGAGGGATTAAAGGTAAAGAAGTCTCTCTAATCTGGAACAATGGTTCTGACGTTCGCACCAAAGATAATATGGCTTCGCTGGAGTAAGTTCGAGCAGATAACCCGTGACTTGGCTGCGGATATAAGCTGAGTACTTAGCTTTCGAAATAAAGCATACCCTCGGTCTGGCAGAATGCGGACACTTCAGTGGGTATGCCGGCCCAAATAAAGAGATCTACTACCAGTATGAGGTTTGTCCATCTCTGTCCAACTGACTGTCAGAAAGCTAAACTTGGGCAGACTGATGATGGTCACTGCGATACAGTCATTGAACAAATTGAGGTAGAACGGGCAATCGAACGTCAAGTCAAGAAAGAGGGGGCAGCGCTTCAAAGCACTGAATGTCTGGATCTGACTGACACTTGGGTTTGGAATGGCCATCTACTCGTTGGACCAACCAAGGGATTTGACTACGAAATAGAATGCGGGCCAAAGCTTATTGTTACTCCAGTGTCCATGATGTGGGATTTGGAGAGCCTGGAGAAAGCAGAGAAGGAGAAAGAGAAGCAAGCTGACCGTGAGCTATAGGGAACACAGTCTGCTGAATATGGGGAATCAAGCAATGATAGGGTTTCGATGGGCCATCAATAGTCGAAAGAGTAAAGGCCCAGGAAGAAGTTATCAGAGAAGTTGATGCCATAAGTAATTATGTTAAAAAAATGACAGTCGCAGCAAACGAAATACATGCAGGGCGTACTGGTAGTTGTAATTACTTGGTACTTCTTACATCGCCGAAGCATAAAGGCGTTTCGTCTCCAGACAATTGTATCAATTTGGAACCAATGGCACTGTAGCCTAAGACCTCAGGAGACTTACTTTGGGACAATGAGCTTATCTTGTTTATGGTTATATTTAGACAGCATTAACCAGTGGCCGAGTAAACAAGCTTGTTTTAATCCACTCATGGCCTCTCTTCTGTCGTAGTCCGAATTGCCGGCGAAGTGAACTACTGCTTGTCTAATGGTTCCGTGGAAGCACTTCACTGACCTGATTATAACCGACTTTGAGGCCGGGAAAACGGTCTTGAGATCTATAACGCGACTAGTAGACGGTATTAATGATATTGGCTCCTTGAACTGCTAAGTTTCTAATCTTCAATACGACCAACACGGCGAGAAGTCTGATCCATCATGCACAATGCCAGCCATCATCCAAAAGTACCAGCTTACGCAAGAGCAAGGAGCTTTGGGGACTCCTCAGGACCAGACCAGTCGATTCATCAAACTAACAAGAAGAGGCGATATGGGATGCAACGTCTTCTGGATTGTCGACAGATATGATCATCGATATCGTTGTCCAGGCGGCAATTCGGCACAAATCGAAGATCAATGACCAACTGGAAGACGCAGAAGACGAAGGATTTTGCTTGCAGCCAACATACAATGACTCTTGATGAAAACAACTGTATGAGAAGTACAAGGATAGAATCCTTCGACTGATGCTCTTCGGGATACAGAAAAGGCCGAGCACCCATTCCGCAGGGTTTCCTAGTAGCCCAATCGATAGTTTTTACAAGGGATGTTTCTAAGGGTATACAAAGAATGAGGAATTTACAGGAGCTCTATTATTTGTAGGAATTCATGCAGTTAACACAAAGAGTTGACTAAAAACCAGTAACTCATCCCTAAGAACTCTGCTATCTGTCGCCGCAGTCCGAGGGAAGCGTGAGGCCCTGGCCCTTATTGTGCGGGAGATGCCACTCTTCCGGGACACATGGATCCTTTTTCATATATAGAGCCGCCCGAGGCTACAATCGAAATGTGTTGGTCCTACGTCTGTAAAATCCTCGTAAGTTTCTGTGCCGCTTGTAGGACCAACAGCATTTAACATGGGTCGGATAAGCGGCATGCTCAATTCCACGCCGAGAGTATCCTCATTTTCCGGATCTTCTGACATTGAAGGTGTTCTCTCGTTACATCACCAAATCCTTCAGAATTCTCGCCAAAGACTTATAAAAGACCAATTGAGTCCCAAGGTCTCACGTTCAAATCATAGTAATGACTGCAGCACTTCAACTCGAGCCTCACTTCCTTGATCAAATTGTACAAGCATCAGCAGGATATATTCTTCCCACTGTCCTCCTCGCAGCGAATCTCGTTGCCTATCTCAGTCAAGATGAAACCCGCCCTTATGAGCTTCTTCGTCTTAATGTCCTTACCTTTGTCTATTTACTCTATGCCTACTACAGAGGTGACAGAGGCCATTAATGAGACCGAGGCTCTGAACATTAATGAAGCTGTCAAGATGCCGGATTCTCTGGCTCTGTATCACCTTGAGGACTTTGAGTCCGAAAACCATGCCCTCGAGAAGCGCAGGCACGTTACAGTAAGTCCAGCCTATGGTTGAATGCTCACAGTGCTGATATCTCGAAAGGTTTGCGAAAGAATCATCACTATCACCTCTCACTGCGTTATCATCGGGGGCGCTATCAAGGTAAGAAATCCGTCGGTCTAAATGGCAAGTCTCTAACATCGACTTTTCAGGACGGAATTCTCCAAATCAGTAAGTAGGATATGACTATGTGGGACTTGGGCTAACATGATTCTCAGGTGCTGCCATTAAGCATGCATCAAATGTCAAGACTTGTTCCACCTTTACCGGACATGCTGGCCCGAACGGCAACCTCTTCTACCGCTATCGCGTATGTGATCCTCATCTCCTTGTTATGCCGAAAGATGCTCACAATCATAACCGCAGTCTACTGGTAGACACTGTGACACAACTGCTGAGCAGGAAACCATCGCAGGTGCAATCGAGCATCACATCAAGAACCATGGGCACAAGATCTGCGGTACTCAGTGTTTGGAACTAACCCATGGCGGAACCTGGCACGGATATCTCCTCATTGGACCGGCGAGCAACTTTGACCATAAGGCTTACTGTGGACCGAAAGTCACCTTCAAGCATTGCGACTCGGGAGGCAAGGGAGACATGAATTAGCCTGACCAAAATCACGGGTAGACATGTTGAAACACCAAGCATAGAGCCTCTACCCGAACACCCCCTTGAAGATCTGTTTGGTTTGAAGGTACAGGGAACTTGCTGGATACACGGCATATGGATATATATCTTTTCCTTCACGTCTGCGATATACGGATAGCAGAGTCAAATTTACATCGTAAGCTCCACGAAGAGCGTTACCGTAACTACTGATACGCTTGCTATGTGCAGATTCACAATATTCTTCGTGATGCCTTTGAGGTTCAGTCAATAGCAATCCCTTATGTAACTATCCGCTTGTTGTATGAGCCACATGCTTCGATCAACACTCGGTGAATCTCCACCAAATGATACCTCGCGCCAGTTTCGAAACAACTTCTCGAGATGACTCCCTACAAGCGTGGCTCGTGAACCAATGAACTCTTTCAGAGCAGGCACGTGCGATGCAGCGAGGATGATCAACATTGCCCCAGACATACTATTCCTTGTCAGTATGCTCTGATTACGGGGCGGTTATCAACTTACGACAGAGAGCATATCCAGGTATCAATCAGAACTGTCTGCGGGAACCCTCGAAGATCTAACGCATGTAGCAAACAAGCATCGAGACATAACTTGCAGTTCTGCATAGCATCTGGTATTGAAGGCACTCTCGTTTCAGCATAGCTAGTGCTTAGCATCCACATCAGGTAGGGTCGGTAGATCACCCCCTTGCAGGTGAGATATCGTTGTCGAAGAAAGCCGCCAGCCGCTGTTGCTGCCTCTTCTGTATCTATGCTGAAGGAGAAAGACGCCGGTAAAACTTCGCGCCAATCATCCAGTTGACGCTGGAGTTCAGCGACGATGCGTGGAAAGCGAGTGTGATCGAAAGCGGCGCCGGTATCTTTTGCGTAAAGTAGTTGATGGACTCTGTTGAGGAGACGCCGCATACTGATACAGGCCAAGAAGTAGAGGGACGATTCCTCTTCTACAATTTCGGATGGGTGCGTGTGATATGTGCTTGGTAAGGGGATGGAAGACTCGACGCGAGCGATTCCTGAAGGGGGGCATGCTGAGAGCTCAGCCATATAATCACTGAGGCAGGTATTAGTGCCTTATCTTAATTTGTTACGTGTGAAGCGCTGGCTTACCTTTCTAGAATGTAGCATGACCAGAATATCCTTCTGATGCGCTCTTCCGCTTCGTCGTCGTGTGTGTTTGGCGGATACGACAAAAGCAGCATGCATCTCGTCGCTGTGGCACTGAGGTACTCCCAAGCTTGAAGTGGCCGGACCAAAGAGGCGAAGTAAAGCCTGGCACGTTAGAAGGGATGGTTTACGGAGCACTGGGGTCATCTTACGCTGTGAAGAAGAGGCATTGGGTGCTTTGGGAATCAACTTGCAGATGCGCGACATGGAGCTTCTTTAGAGCTAGTTGGAAGTAGATGTCACCAAGCTTCCGCTTCCGAAGTCTTCTGTCTTTTTCTGCTGCATCGGGCTCAGCAGTAAAACGAAGATCTTCGGCAGCTTGGCTTGCACATCCCAAAGCCAAGGTGAGTAAACAAAGACAAGAGTGAACTGTATCCTCTGAGGGCATTCCTGTTTGAAGTGTCGCGCGTATGTTGCTGAGCTGTTCTTGTGACATGGAAGGGTACCAGAAGTTGATGTTTCGTTCAAAGGCCTCTAGCATCGAGATTATGTCTTCAGCGTCGACGTATGGGTACATGGGATTCGATGCCACTGCTAGCGGTGGTCGTGCCTGTTCAAGATAGAAGATCGAGTCTCCATCATGTCGGAGCAGCGGAAAGACGTCAAAGTGAGGCCATTGGAGTATCGACTCAGTTGTCGAGGTATGCATAGAGTCCAAGACCGCATTCTCAAGGTTGTTGACATTCTCACGTTGGTCTTGACTGGTCGGTGTCTGGATCGCATGACTCTGCCGACGAAGGTTCAAATCTGGCGAGGAGCCTGAGAATGAGTTGGTGCGATTTGTTTGAGGTGAGTTGGCTAGTTGAACACCGTTCGGCTACAATGGTCAAAGCTAGACATCTAGAAGAGATGCTTGCGGCTTACGATGGCAGATCTTAACTCGTGTAGGGTTTTCTCGACCCGCAGAACACTTTCTAGGATGAGATCGTTCTTGCTCCTCCTACAGCAGTGTTACATTGCTTGAGCGGAGCAGTAGATTGAAGAGTGAGGCTTACGAGTTGGCTTCAGATCCGTAGGTACAATCATGGCCGATCGACGCACATGTTGCGCAAGGATTGTTCCCATCGCATCTATCGCTATCAGCCAAGCTGTCAAGTTTCTGGTAGATCACCCAACCTTGTCTTGCGGGTACGACAAGCATCACACTAACGTCAGTCAGCATATGCCAGTATGCAACAGAAGCAATGTCTCTCAACTCACTGCATGCGACGTCCTCAACCTCTTCCTCGCAGGCCATTCATCATTTGCTTGATCCATTGCGTTGGGAACTGAACTGAACAGCAATTCGCTCCGGTACGGGCCGACGTGAACGTGGGGAAAAGAGGAGATAATGAAGGACGAGTTTGTGAATGATCTGATGGATCACGGGGATGCTCGGTCCGAGGTCAATTGAAGCTCGTGATTGGTGCGGGAATTCATTCGGGGAATCCTTGCGTCAGTTACCCCAGCTTTTGTGACTTGGTCCGATTGGACACTTCCTTGGTCTGCGAGCGAGGTTGGTGCAAAAGCTTGATGGGCATGAGACCTTGGAAATACTGGGGTCCAAATCAAGGTCATGAGGTGCCATTGCTCGCTGCGACGTGGTATGCAGATCGGGAAGTGAGGCCGAGGCTTTGGCGATCGGCAGACAAGTTTAATGGGAACTCAATTGACATGCGATACGAAATTGTCGCGAACCAATTGAAGGCTGAAACAATAATGTCGGGCCATCTTTCTGGCTAGGCACTGCTTTGGGGCTGATTATGGTAAAGTATCACGTTGGAAAGATAAACATTTGTAGAGTAATAGTGCATTGCGCATCATATGGATTGCGATGGAGTTATCTTCAGTATGGCTACCTAAAACATGACTAGGCAATTGAGATTGACCAGATCAAACCTCTCCCGCAAGCTTCGCATCTCCAGTCACATTCAGCGTGTTCATAACAGTCTGCGCATCTCTCTTCTGAAGACTTTTCTTGACAGGGTTGGGTGCCTCAAAGACTTCGGACAATTCCTCCAGAGTGCGGTCCTTGGTCTCCGGGAAGAAGAAGTAGATGAAGACAGCTTCAAACAGATCCCAAAAGACAAACACAAGGTAGAAGTAGTATCCGATGTCCTGGAAAGCGGGACCACTGCTGTACTGGATGATGGTCGACGCAATTGAACTAGCAAGGTTACCGACGGCAGTACCCTTGGCTCGAATGTCGGTGGACAAGCATTCGGCGATGTATGCTGACTGGAGAGGAGTCCAACCGAAAGAGAACACGATACCGAAGATGAAGATCATGGCAACGGTGGCGTTGGCTGCAGAAGCATTGTCGGGTTGATCGAGGGAGAGCTTGCTGGTACCGGTGATGACGGCGAAACAGCAAGAGCAGAAGATGATTGAGTAGATCAGAAGAGGGCGGCGACCAACGACATCAGTGAGACGAGCTCCGAGAATGGCACCGAAGAAGCAGAGCACAGGGTTGATACCGTTCAGAGCCAGCACCTTCTTTTCGTTGGTGATGCCGGCTTGCTTCAGCATGACGGGTAGATAATAAGAGCTAGACATGGTTAGCGAAGCTAGAAACTGAACAAGAACTTGGAGCGTACCTCAAACTGTTTCCACTGACTTGTCCAAAGACAGCCATACCCAAGACTCCGATAAGTCGGCGACGCGCACTATGAGTGTTCCAGAGTCCACGGTAGTCCCACCAAGACTTATCGGTGGCATCAGCAGCAATCTGGTTGGACATCTCCTTGATCTGCAGCACAACCATAGGATGGTTCTCGTCACCCTCACCATGGTATGTAGCAAGAACTTTGACAGCATCCTCAACTCTGTCCTGGGCGATGAGCCATCGAGGAGATTCAGGCAGCCACAGAACGCCAAGCGCGACGATACCAGAGGTAATCATCTGGCACCAAATGGGAACTCTCCAGGCAATGTCACCATCGATGTAACTGCAGCCGTAGACGACCCAACTAGCAATGATGCTACCGATGTACCAAGTACAGTTGTACAGACCAGTAATGGTACCTCGCCAGTTGGGGTGCGCCATCTCGCTAACGTAGCAAGGGGCAGAGACACAGCAGAAGCTGACACCAAAGCCGAGGATGAAGCGACCGCCGAGGAATTGGCCTCGTCCGGTGGATGTAGCTTGGACGCATGTTCCGATGATGACTACGATGGCGCCGGTGAACATGCCCCATCGTCGGCCGAAGAAATCGTTTACGGGGGCGGTGAAGAATACGGCGGCGATGGAACCAATGTTGTACATAGCAAAGACGATTCCGGTCGAGGAACCCTCGGAAGACCTGCGATTGTTAGCTCAAGTCCTTTTTCTATGTGGTTTGACATACATGTTGAAGTAGCGTTGGTATGCCTTCATACCATTGATACCACCGAGAAGACTGCCATCATATCCGTTCTTTACAAGTTAGCAACGAGCTCATTGTACTCTTCTGAAACACTTACCAAGCAACCGCAGAGGTATGCGCAAGCCAGAATGAAGTACAGCCTGAACATACGAGGCGTCCATGGCGACAACTTCTGATTCTCAACATCATGCGCAAGCTGCACCGCGACATGAGCATCATGAACCTCATCACCATGGTCAACAGCGACCTTCTCATCAGCTTTGTAGTCCATATTGTCAAAGAGTCAATCAGTGGAGACTTGAGGCCAAGAATGAAGACTGTCGATCAAAAGGCCAAGCTCAATGGGTCTTTATATAAGTCAAGTTGCATGCATATTACCGTCGTGTTACACCGGACTTTGGACCCCAGACGGCATGCAGCGCCCGTCCGACGTCGTCCCCGGATTTGCAGGGCTGGTTTCTCCCCCTCATTCTGTGCGTGTTGGGTTTAGTTGGAGGGGCCGAGATGGTGTTCTGACTTTTTGTCGGGGCGAGGATTGGGTTAGACTGTTATCCACTCCGGCTCCGGCTGCCCCGAGGTAAACCTGGGGTAGGTTTTGGTGGTAGCGATTGGCTCGGGTACAACATCTTGGAAACGAACCAGTTATTTAAATTTATGGTATGGTGTGTTCTGGCTCGTGATATGAGCTAGACTCAGGCGGAATGGCTTCGGAATTCGTTGCGGTCAGCCCATGGCCCGGGTTCACGAGTCGTCTGAGATATGGCGACATTGAGATGGTCTCATGGGACAGACTCCTTAGTCGTCTTTCACGTAACATGTTTCTCAGCATCAATACAAGCCGATTCGTCTAGATTTTTGAACTAAGTACACAGCAGAGGCCCCGCTGTGCCAGACGTCAAATAGAACAGGCATTGGCTATGGTGTAGTCGACATTGAACGAGCCCAGGGCTAATTTTCCTTCTACCAAGCTGTCTCTTTCTCCGGCTTCTGGCCATAGACCACGTATCTTCTGCTGTGAGTATAGGAACGACATAACCACGAGGGCGACTTACATCTTCCAGTATCCATGCACCTTCGGATTCCTCAATTCATTCCTCACATCCGCACAAAGAGATATTACTTCGTCCTTCGACCAACCGAGCACCCTAGTGAACAGAGCCAGACTCACGCCCTCAAGACCTGACTCAAAATTGATGAGATTCCACTTCCCAAGTTCCTTGAGTTTTGGGTCCTGGGGCCAACTGTTGGTAGGCCATATGTAGATAGTCTCAACAACATTTTGAAAACCGGCCTCCTCGACGATGAATTTGTACTTATCAGACTCACCAAGTGGTCGACCAAGTTTACGAGAGCCTTCGATGAGACATTCTTGCCACTTCATCAGTGGAGACGTTTCTGGGTCGAGAGTCCCATCGTCGCAGAAGACTGGAAGCTGGATATCTTGGATCTCATACCAACCGCCGGGGCTTAGACCACTGCAGTGCGTTACTAGAACGTTCGTAGATCAAGATCTTCTCTCAGTGAGCTTACTCGAATGCTTTTTTCGCTATTATTTCTGGGTCGGAGAAGCTTCCTGTCATCATGCGAGAGAAGATAAAGTCAAATGGTGTCGTCCATGTCCAATCTTTCTCAAGGTCGTCGATCTCGAAACTGCAGTTTGGCGGTACGCTGTATGATTAGTCAGATAATACTGAGAAGTTTGAAGGCGAGTTGGGACCAACAATGGAGGTTGGATGGGGCTCAGATCAACGCCGATCACCTGTTCAGATATTAGGCTAGTCTGTAGAGAATGGTAAGTGACATACTTCGGCACCTGGGTGTTCCTCAGCTAGGGTCTAGTCAGCCAAGTTCGATCGAAAGTCTTGACAAGAATCATACCAAATTCCAATGCCCAAATCCCTGTTCCGGTACCCATATCTAAAACTCGCTTGGCTGTATCGGCTCCTGGATTCAAGGCCCTTTTCCCGTCAAGCGTAATGATGTACATGCCGTCTTGCAGGTCTGTCTGCTATTAGCACCGCATGACAATTCTTGAAGCGCTCTCTTACCGAGTCTATCATTTTCAATCTCCAACGAGGTTAGACCAAGCACTTAATTTGTTTCATGAGAAGCTCACATCGTCATTTGGGTAGGCATACTCTATCTCAATCAGCCAGGGTCGATCAGAATCAAGTCTTGTTCTTACTCCCTTCACTTAGCCTATGGTAGGTCCGTCCATTTTCTTGAGCGAAATGGAGCAGGCTGGACCGAAGTGATAAATTTAAGGAATCGTCGAGTGGCTTTTTTCGTGAGAACCTTGGCTTTAGTGGGGTCGGACTGGACCTACTATTCCGATAGCCGAGTCATAATCTAGATCAACCGCCTGCCTTTCGATTAGCAAGTGCCTAATCAGAGGGTGATCCTTATTACAATCTGTTCTGACATGCTAGGCAGCTGTGAGAGGAGGTGCAATGTTTGTAAAATTTTGGGCGTTAATCAGGCGGGGAACGATGAGTTGATAATAAAAGCAAATAAAGTTTCCAAGCACATGATTTGCTGCAAGGGCAAGTCGCGCTACCCTGAAGCAGATCTGTTCTTATCTTGAGCCATTTCTCTACATACTCAGTATGAACTCTCTACAAGGAAAAAGTAAGGTTGGTATCAAAAAGATAAACTGTTTTTAAGCGGTGTTTTTATGTTTAGAGATAATTATAAATAATTGCGATCGATCATGGTCACCATTGAAGGTGGAGAGCGCGACTGCAGGGTGATAAGGCCTGGCCCGGTTTCTCCATCATACGATCATCCAGGCAACGCTGCCTCAAAGGCAAACACCAACAAATATACCTTTTTATACTCCGTAGACCGTTTCAATCTGTAAAAGACCATCTTCATCTCTGGAAATCCATTACTGCAGACCTATAAGGCAAGATAAAAGGCACCATTCCTCTATCGGTATGTGGCTGCCCTAGCTTCAGATCATACCCAAATCAGCCTAGTCGCTATTTTTCATTTCAGCTGAACTCTCAGAAAACCCCTTTCGCAATTTCGAAATGTTTCGTCACAAAGAGGCAATTATCGCGACTTCAGTATGGCAGACAATGGCAAGTCGCCAACCGACATCATCACCTATATCGGTGTGCCGTTGGCAGTCTTGGGAGGTATCCATATCGCTATTCCCCACGTATACCGCATGCCAAGCGACTAACTACCCCGGCAGTTCTCCCAATTCTGTACAACACGCTCTCCACGCTCATCTCGCTCTCCAAGATAAAGCGCATGCTGCGTCATAGTCGTCTGACAGCACTTACACGCAGTGATATCGTCAATAGAGTCATCGAGATAGAGCTCCCGCGCTATGCTGTCATGCCGCTGGACAGATTCCAGGATCGTTCAGAGTATTGGACTCTGTCGCGTCATCCCAGCTCGATCCCTGGCGGTAGTTGGACCACCTTCAACTGGAAGACTCACTCGATTGGTATGAAGACTCAGCGGGTTGAGTACGCTGATCAAGTACGACAGCCTCAAGTCGAGGTTGCCTTCGATGAGCTTGTTTGTTACCTTCTCGATCTTGGCGCTGTCCCGAATCCCCATGGATGGAAGTTACTGAGATCGTCTGGACTTTGGACACCTGTAGGATGTTGTTTGATGATGTCTCCCGAAGGTCGGCAAGACGCGCTAACAATCGCTCCGTCAAACGATTCCGATGGCAATCTCTCCTTGACTGTTGCCTGGTCTAGTTCTTGGATCACAAGAGACTATTCTAACTTGCCGCCATACTGGGTCCGATTGCCCTCACCACCTCAGAAAGACAATATCAACGAGCCTGGAAGCGTGTCAGAGGTTCCAGAGCACTCAGCTCGGAACTCAGAGGACGGGCTAACAACAGGGAAGGATCGGGAGGTTGAGTCACGGCCGGGAACTAATCAAGCTTCCACACAATCGAGTGCAATCACCTGTCAGATTTCCATGTCAGGGCTTGTCACTGCCCTGACCGAACAAGACCATTATGGTGCCCAGACGACTCTGAACCTAGAAAGCCTTTACATCGACCATCTGCGAATTCAGCCTGCCAAATCTGACGGTGTCTGGTTTTCCAGCGCAGCCACCGCTTTCGGAACATCTAGTCAGACCATTCTCTGGAACTACAAGATCCCAGACGATATTCTGTCCTTTGCACGGAAGGAGACAGTGCCCTGCGGAGTGTTGGTAGTCCTAGGCATCGTTGACGAATCTGAGACACCAACATGGGCGACCAGGTATGATGATCATGGGACAGACATTCACAAGTTTGCGCGAAAGTCTCAAGAGCAACGGGCTGCGATAGCTGCAGAAGCACTATTACCTCCTGCTCAGCGTCAAGCGGCAGTACAGGCTCGGATGCAAAAGGAGACGCAGGAGCGGATGGATGAGAGTAAGTCAGCCCGATCGTTTACAGATCTGAGTTCATTACTGACATGGCACGCCATAGTGCGCGAGAGACACAGAACAAGCCAGTTGAGACGCGACCAGCGCATGATGGAAGCCCTACGCAGCCCCAAATGGGACACAAAGCTTGTTGCTGAGCATTGCCTACGATGGCTCCAAGGGAAGGGTCATTGGGATGAATCGCTCACTGTGAAGGATGTCGTCGGCTTCATGTTACATCGCATGGTTTTGGACGGGGAGTTCGCAGCTGATATTTGCCGGATGCTGGACAAGTGGAAGGCTTGGGCTGATGTCGGAGGTATGAAACAGTCTGACTACCAGGCAGTTCAAGATGATCAAGTTGACTTTGCACATGCGTCGTTATTAGTGGCTATGATTCGAGATACATCTACTGCTTTGGAGGGAACTGTGTCTATGGATTTGCAGGAATGCTTGAGGATGTGGAGAAAGGTTCGACTTGGATAGCTCGCTGTGTATAAACAATTCTTAGGAGAACACATTTCAGATCAAATATGAATCAGAGTCACATGGCAATAGAAAGTGATTAATCCCGGGAAAGATCATTGCATACTAAGGAGCGAAACAGCTAGCTAAAAACAAAGATAAACTACGGAAATGGTTTGAACTAAAGGCCAGGGTCTGAGCCACCAGCTTCTGATCACCAGAGATCACATCGCACTGGACAGATCCAGTTCTAATCAGTGGTAGCGATGCTACCGGTGAGGCGGACGGGGACGGGGGGGAACACGATGGGGATGTTCTGGAACCAGAAGGTGGCGACATGCTGCTGCTGGCGGTACACCTTGATATGGACATCGAGCTGTCATTTGTGTTAGGCCTTGGCCTCGATTTGCTTCAAAGGAGAGAACTTCGGTTACTTACGCCCTTGACATGGAGTTCATAGCTTGCATCCCCTTCGCCCAACTGGTTGAAGTCCTGGTAATAGAAGGTTCCACTAAGAAGTTCTCGTCAGTATCGCCTACCACTATCTTGGTACAGTAAGGGAGCTACTTACATTGGGATAGCCGCTTTACCAGGGACGAAAACACCATACCCCTTGCCAGTGAAGGATCGCTTAATGTTAGGGACACCAATGGCCAGTTCAATGGTAGTCTTGGTCACTGTGATAGTTCCGTTGGCATTTTCCTTGTTCTTCCAGGCTTTGTGGCCGATGGAGTCGCTGGACTGAAGGATGGACTCGAGATGAGCCCTACCACCGGGGGTGGAGATGGCCTGGGCAGCGATCTCCTGGATCTCCTGCTCAGTTGTGCTACGAGCATCGGGACCGGTGGTGATGTAGGTTGCGAGAGCACTCAGCAGATTGCTGTCAACAGAGGGAGAGCTGGCAGACTGGATGGGCAGAGCCTGCTGCTGCTGTTGCTGCTGCTGGGGGAATCCGATGGAAGCCATTTTGATGGGTTTGGAAGAATGAAGAAGTAAGGAAGTTGCTGCTGGCTGTTGTGAAGATGTGAGAGTTGAGCTGATGTTTTTAATCTATCAATGACTGGACCTCCCTAGGGTTTATATAGATTCTGTCCCAGGTTGACGAGGACTTTTCTCTTACCAATAACTTCTACAGCCTCGACAAACGAAACACCAAACCCAACTGATATCATAGTATCGCTTATGTTCAGCGCTTAACCATCGGTGAAGAAAGCCTGAGATGGTTTAGCACGTCTGCTCTTTCAACGCTGATCATGTCTGTCTCAGTTCTGACTGGGTGTTCAGCTGTCCTCAATGGCATAATCTAACTCTGAAGATTCTCAAATCATGCCATGGCAAGTCCGAGATCACATATTGCGTAGGTTTGGGTCACGCTCGCGACATTGCAGTTACCGTATCGAGAAGTAGGCATAGGTGATATTGGTTTTTAGCGCCTGTGAACAAAGCTGCAGTGAGGGGCCTGTGATGCATCGTGGTGGTGGCAAGCTGAATACACCATGGAGTCCAAAACTCTCACGATGATTGCGGTATAGTCCACCGTGATCATGTACGTGACATGAAGCCTGGACTCGCAATCCATACTAATGAAGAGGTTGAACGGCGCGGGCCGAGACCGCCACAACTGTTGGATTACGAATTGGAAACTGAAAGAGCAAATTGTAGTATATTATTCGCAATTGAGCAGGGGTTCTCAGCCGGCGTTAAAGCCTGCCTATACCGTTTTAGGGCGGACATGTCTCAAACCGTAAGGCCATTTTCCAATTTGGATTGCGCCATCCTCAAGTATCTAATGGACTAAACCTGTCTTGTATTGCACAATATGCTCATCGGATTCGGCACTTCAGTCGTCGTAGCAAATCACGCAAGAAGCGCAGGCTCGTTGTAAATTTTGAGGCCCCCCGTGGTATCAGGCTTACTATTGAAGTATCCTCTGTGGTATCTTCGAACCTGGCGGCTAACGCGACTTCGGTAAGGTTCCATGCTTTGAGGGGAACCTGGATAGCTATATTCACGGGACCCTCATGGTTATTAACCTGGGGCTGGTACCCTGACCAATACGACATGGAAACCTCAGCTCTGGAACAGAGAGAAAGTCCGTCAAGAATCTCAGCTATGCTGCAGATTGACATGGGTCCAATGACCATCGATTGCAGCCTTTCTGTTACGAGACTAAAGGCAGGACAAGGGGCGAGGTGATGGGTCCAAGCCCGTACAAGGTTGAACCAAGAGCTCCTTTGTTCTTGTTTCTACTGCCCATTGCCTCCAGAGTTCAGCTTCGCTTGCGTGCTCAAAGCTAAAACTAGTCTTGCTCCTCCCAGGTTTATATGCCTATGGCCGTCTTTACGAATATTGCTCCAGATACTCCAGCTGCTCCCTGTTCAAGATATGGCAGCTATCGAGTCTACCAACTCTAAACAACATGTTATAAACACACTTCAGGAAGCATACCGAGTACCCGTACAATAGACGCTGGCTGTTCATCTTCCACGTACTGGTGTGCTTTTCTGGCCTCGATTGCAGTTTGGGGGCTAGTATACATACCGTAGAAAGTTTTCTATACGCAACTGCGGCAACAGTGTCCAAGGTCACAGGTATCGTCTAATTATTATGGCGGAGTCCACATTTGCTATGCCCGATGGTGTTTGCAATCTTTGCAACTCGAGGAAGATGTTCAAGTTAGCCTCGATTCTCTTATGATTCTTTCCACTCCTTGATCCAAAGGAACTTGCATGCTAGAGATGGCCGCGAAACATGATATTGTGTGTCATTGTATGTTTGACGTCCAAGCGTTACTAGAAGTCCTTGTATCGGGCATGAAGGAAAAGGATAAAATGGATGGTATGCAAATAATATCGAGTTTGAATCACAAGCTCTTTCTTCCAACTCGCCACCTTTGGCTAGAGGTTCCTTGAAAGCATCCAGATAAACAGGCCAAGATGCGAAAGGCTGAAAGTCGTGAAGACTGGACGAATTCAAAACTTCTAGCTATGTCTCGCTCTTAAAATAGTAAACCAACCCAGGATTTCCCATAAGAAGAAGTACCGTAGTGAGTATTTAACTGGTTTGGCTCTTTGATGTTGTCAGCTGAACAACTCCAGCTGCCTGAACACCTCACCAGTGATGACCTACCCTAGATGCCCGTGTGATTTTTTCTTCACTGGGATTTGCTGGTCGTAATGTAAGCAATTGAGCGAGGTTGCAGCTGAAAAGCGACGCTATGCTTATTTTGTCGAGATATTCTGACATGTCGTTAATCTGGTAAGCTGAGGATGTTTTGTTGGCCAGAAGTATAATGGACCTCAACGGATGAACTGGACCATTCCAATAATGTAGACACTGGTACACCCTCAATAGAAAAAATGCGGCTCAAGATGGATTTGTCAGGGCATTCGATTCAGTAATGAGGGATCAGCAGGCTGAGATGCTAGGAATGGACGCTTCGGAACTTCTGGAAATTAAAAGCACGAGTGCCGAAGGGTCTTGGCACGTTAAACCCGACGAATAATGTTTAGACTAACAAGGACCTTAGACAATGCCACAGTCATAACAAAGTCAAAGCGTTCGCCCTTCACCAGTAAAAACACAAACGGACAAACGTTGAAGCCCTCCCCGCACCGGCATCTCCTTTCCCCCGCGAACGGTTCCCCCTTAGCGCAACCAGGATAACATCATCGAGCCCATTAGCGCGTCCTCACTTGAATCATTCGCCCAAGCTGACTGGTTCGATGTGAGACAAAGTGCCTTTCGTCTTATCTCCCCTCCCCCATCCCCATCCCTTCTCTTTTCCTTCCAAACTTCTTCTTCTCTTCTTCTTTTGGGGCTCCCAAGTGAGCCTGCTGTGCTTGGCCATGCACGATGGAAGCGGATTATAGACCGAATGTCTATGCTTCTATCTTTATTACCCTGCCGCTTGCAGCGCTGGTGCTAGTGCTGAGACTCTTGGCGAGACGGACGACGAGAGCGGGTTATGGGATTGATGATTGGCTGGCCGTCGTTGCGTTTGTGCGTTATGCTTAACGTTTTGCCACTGAGTGAATGATCGCTGACAATTGATGCGCAGATTGGAGCTCTTGCGTATTCGATTGACAACCTTGTCTGTAAGAACATAACCACTCGATCTGCATCAATTGCAATAGCTAAATGCTTCTTCAGTTCTTTTCGGCTTTGGCCTCGGTCGCCCGCTGAAAGATGGCCCGTCGCATCTCACCGAAGAAGAACGACTCGAACGATCATACCTCCTCATTTGGCTCAGCAGCCTGACGTATACCATTGGCATCGGCTTCGCCAAATTCGCCATTTTGACATTTTACTGGCGCCTGTTCAAATATTCTAGTTCGCGCATCGCAATCCAAGTTGTCTCTGTGCTTTGTGTCGCATGGTTCATCGTCCGAATGCTCCTGTTAACACTGTCATGCATGCCGACGTCTGCCTACTGGGATCTCGCCCGACGAACTACCCACTGCCATGTCACGAGCAATTTTTATTTCTTCTCCACTGGTCTTACGCATGCTGTTCTGGATATTGTCATTCTTGTTCTCCCGCTGATTGAAGTCATCAAAATGCATCTTCCGCTTGGTCAAAAACTTGCTGTCATGGCCCTCTTTGGCTTTGGTGCTCTGTGTGTTCCCCGTGGTGATGCCTCGTGCATTGGACTAACATGTGAACAGTGTTTGTGTACTGTCGATTCTTGTCATCCATAATTCCTTCCAGTTCAACGGAAGTTCGAAGGAAATCGCCCTCAAGATCGGTTATCACGGATCTTTGGCTGCAGCAGAATGCAATCTCGCCAACGTTTCGGGTATATCACACCGGCCCATACTGTGAACCTCAATTGACGTGTTTCAGTTTCGCTACCAATGCTGCGACCCGTATTTCGAAAGATCGTACCCTCCTCATTCCTCGCGTCTCACAGAAGTAAGCGTGCTGTCGTCGACTCAGCCCTATCACCAGAATACGGTATCAAGGGCAGTCGCGGCACAAAGGCATCAGTACAGAACGGCTCAAGTTCCGTATGCGAATTTGTCATGAACGATGATATCCCAGCGGGATACGACATCGAGGCTTCACATGCTGGGTGGAGTTACGGCACAGAGATCACAATCTCCAGTCCGTGGAGACATCAAACGCCTCCACCGACAGTAAACGAGGGGTTGGATGGGATACAAATATCAGAAGAAACAACGGTTCACGTTGAACGCATAGGGCCTTATCCATAATGGGCTCAGTAAACGAATAATATTAATATTGCTTCATTCATGTCATAATAACTCTTTGCACCGTGAGGCATCTCTTATTAAAATCCCAGACTACAGCTTTGAAGGAACATTCGATGTATCGCATCCACAACTGTCGGAAACCTCTGCCTTCTTGTTCTCAATAAGAGTACTCTGGTTCACGCTCTGCTCACTGGGCGGCACATCCAGCGCAGGGTTCTTGGTGAAGAAGTTGACAGGCTTGAGGTGCACCTTCAGAATCTCAACCGGCATGACAGGGAAGTCTTCGATGCGTGGGATATGGTTGATACCGAATTGCACCCAGAGCACAATATCAGACTCTGGTGTCAGTGATTCGTTCCTTTGTGCCCAAGTTCTCACGCCTGCGTCTCCACGAGACTGGTTGGTGTACCATCCTCCCGCGTACAGTTCGCGGTCGCGATGTGTGGTGACATAAATATTATGGTCTGCGAACTCAGCGCGCTTATGCAGGAAGCTGTCTTCGTCGCCCATAAGCTTTTGGAATGGCGGAGCCATAATCTTATAGCCCACGGGCTTGCCGTTAATAGGGTTGAGGGAGTTGGGGTTGGTGATCTTATAGACCCTGCTAAGGTCATAATCGATATCCAAACCAGCTGTCTTGTCAATGGTCTTCTCGACAACCTCGTAGCCGGTACCATGAGGGTTCAGATGGGGATCACGAGGTATTCTGTGGGCTTCGCTGTATACCAACTGGTTTGTATGACCGTCAATCATGGGATCGACTCGTAGGGAGAAGATGTGTTGATGGACACCTGCCAGGACACCAGGGTGTACGACAGTTCCAAATGGCACTCCTGTCTTGTCCAGCTCGTGGTCAATCGGCTGTGTAGACAAGATACCTGTAGCGCGGACTTCGTATGTGACCTCTCCTGCTTGGTTGAACAGGAACATGAGGATATACTCGTAGTTCGAGACTGTGATGATGGACTGCAGCACAAGCTCACGTGCTCGTACAACCGCAGCTCTTCCAGTTCTGTAGTTGGTGTGCTTCCACCCAATACCAGCATCTTGCTCATGGATACAAATGACGTTCTCCATTGGCAATGGCCTGCCTTGGTCGTCGCAGATCACACCGCTAAGGTATTGAATGCTGCCTAAGCAATCACAGCCTAGTTTGAGATTATTTGCTGTAGCACCAGCACCCGCATCACCCAAGTCAAATGCTGACTTCTTGTGGAACGGGTGTCGTGGATCACCATAAGGCACGCTCATGTCTGATAGAGATAGTCTGTAGAACAAGGGACGGTTGTCATACTTGACGTTGTACAACACCATGCCCTCGCGCTGATTGAAGCCTATTTATGTCAGCCGGGAGATCATTGGGTAAGACAAGATATCAGACTTACCAACGAAGAAAGTCCACTTCTGCCATGAAATAACGTTTCCAGTCTCACCGACCGGGGTCACATTGAAGCTTGGCCCCTCTGGCTGGCTTACATGCAGTGGCTTGAGATCCTTTCGCAGCTCTTGGGCTTCCGGGATATACTCATTTGCTGGCTTGGGTTGGTAAGGTGCCAATGGCTTGATAGTGTTATCAGCCCCCGTAGGAAGGACATCGATTCGGATGACTTTGTAGTTAACGCATTCGATGACCGGCGATACGGGCAAGGGGAATGCGTAGTGGTTGGAATCAGCTTCGCCAGAGTTTGAGGGGTCTCGCATGTACAGGAAGACCTGGTACATACGGACATCATCCTCAACTCCGTCGGACCCTACACATGTCAGTCATCAATTTATCTCACAATCAATAACAGTGCTTACCGTAAATCCATGGATCAGCACATACGACTGTCCCCTCTGGCAACTTTAGCTTTTCCAGCTCAGCCAAGACCTGCGGATCCTCAAGCGCAAGCTTCTCAACCCTCTGAGCCTCATCATAGTCAACGTTTCCGTGCACGTTGGGTCCAAGCTTCACATTGCTCTCGATTCTTCCAGTAGTCAGGTTGACTATAGCTTCATGGAAAATATCCTGTGACGGTCAGATCATGCATGATAACAACCTAAGTGGGGTCAACTCACCGTTCCACGGATATAATACGCAACAAAAGCCAAACGCTCAAGCGGCGAAGGGGAAGTTCCGCTGTCGAAAGCTTCCAGATACGGTGCAAGCTTTTCCTTCGGTGGCTCACTGAGCGTTATAACCTTAAAAGATAGCGAGACAGACTGTGGCCAGACGCTCTCGATCAAGCGTGCGCTAGCCTGAATCTCATCGCCCGTCAGTGGGCATAGCGGGTGGGGAGCAGAAGACATGTTGAGAATCTCAGAGCCGTTGTTAATCGGATGAAGATAATTGTTGACGAAGTTAGTACCTATTTATCATCAGTACAAGACCTGACCGTCTTGGTGCGGAGTTGATGATTCACCCATTTCTCCCCACCACGATTCTCCAAAAATTGCTACGTTGGGAAGTTGGATCCATTCAACGGCTGGGCTGCACTTTCTGTATATGGGAAAGCGTGACGCAGTAGTGAGAATGACTGATGATAAGGCGCGTATTAGGAAAAGATCGTCTCTGTCTGTCCCGCTTATCTCAGTCAAGACATGCTTGGTTCCGACGTCGTGGGGAAGAATATCTGCGATAAGCTACCATCACTCGAAGGGCGGAGCTAAAGCGCGTAATTACATCTTATTGGTGGTTGCAAAAGCCTATCAGAGGAGAAGGATGCTCAATCAAGGCCGTATTCTACCAAGTTCCGCTTGACGGTTTAACTTCCGCCTACAATGAATCCGCTGGCCATGGAAAGCCTGGCTTATACTTCTGCTGTAAAACAACACTCCCCTCGGGAAACTCTTTTTGAGCCAAATCAATAGGCTTTGCATCACCTGGAATCGTCCAAGAGCTGACTAGCCCAACAGACTCGGCAGCATCCTCTTTCAGCCTAACCACCTTATCCGGACGAGAGGAGAAGTCATTCAGCAGCTCAGGATCGGTGCTCTCCTCGAATTCCCCAGGCTCAGCAATAACCCAGACATCTTGCTGGGGTTGGTCATACTCAAAGTCTGGACCACCGCAATCTTGCGGGTCGGGCTGATAAAAGTCGTTGGTGAGGGGTAATTCCACCGAGCAGTTATCAAGATCCTCCTCAATGCTCGAATTGGCAATGGCGTAGTTGATGTGGTTGATACCCAAACCCTCGGTCTGGATGAGGATCTTCATAACAACGTCTGTGCTCTCAGCCGTTCCATCTTCGACCTGGTCTTCCTCAGCGAACTGGTCAATATACCAGACTGCGCGTCTGCTCTTGGCTTCTTCGTCAACGACGATAAATGGATTCGTGTTGCCAGCTTCGGTTTCTTTCGCGCGCATGTATTGATGCGATTTGCCTAGATAATCGTCCGGTGCGTGCATAATTTTGATTTGCATCATTGGGGCGGATTTGTAGTATGCGCCACGCTCAAAGGCTGACTTAAAAGCTTTCAGTTCGTCATCTGTGAATGTAGTGGCAAGATAGCATTTGAGGCAATCGCCATGTTGGTCGGGCGGTATATAAACCATTGTAGCGTAGCAAACTGTAAAAATACGGTGCTATATCAGAGATACATTGTTCAAAGAAAAAGGAAATGTGGCATTTTTATACAACAACCGAGTTGAGTCGGGGGGATCTGAATCCAAGGCCTTTAAATAGGCAGCGGAAGCGCTAAAGCGAGTTCTGCCTAGAAAACGGGCATGATGGTGTCGTAGGATCAGCGGCACAGCCACGTATGTAATGTTGCCCGTAAGCTATTGGTCTCATTCATCGTATTTGAGAATTAAAACATCTTCTATCCAATTTTTGCTATATAATTATTTGTAACATATCTAGGCAAAGGTTCCTGGCTGAGGACCAAAGAAGGTTCCATTGGGAACCTTGAGCCTGGTGCAGGTCTCGGCTTCACAACCACTGTCTGCACTGTTGCCGATCCAATTGATCGACGCCCCGTGGTAGCTCACAGCGAAAAAGATGACCACCGCAGCGAGAGCAATTCCAGTCTGCCAGGCTGCTGAAAGAACATAATTGTACTTTCCCCAGAACTGGAGGTATCTCTTTCTGACGATGACCCAAGAGATCCATCCTGGAATGACAGCCGGCCAGACATAGGCCAGGTTATAGGGAGACCAGATGTGACCGCCACTAAAGATGACGACGGGGTGAAGCTTTGTAAGCCAGTGCGTCTTGGGAAGCTTGCGGGTCGCGTAGTAGTAGACGATGGGGAAGGCCAATCCTACTGGGAATGCAGCGAGGAGAGCGGTGTACAGGCCGCCTTCTCCAAAGACTCTTTGAGGCGCGAGAGAGCCGAAGAGTACGGCAGCAGTAAAGTAAGACTCGACACCGGGGCATGTGAAGCGATCCTTCTGGGTAGGCTGACAGATATCGGGGATGTTGAGGATCTGGAAGTTCATCACTGCGGTGCAAACAAACGCCGAGACAACAGCTATTGACAGTCAGTCGAGGTGAACAAAGAAGTGCTCAAGTATTACTTACTGGCAACTGTCTGACACCAGAAAGTCTGGCGCTGAGGAATCTTGAGGTAGTGGCCGAGCTTCAGATCGTTGGCGAAATCGAGGGCGTGAGCAACTGTCACATATCCAAAGCCTTTGAAGAAGTTCATCTACTCATGTCAGATGCGAAGGTTAGAATCTTGGTGCTCGGATACTTACAGCTAAGGCATTGCCAGGCTGCCATGCTCCTCCAATGAACTCAGCGAGGACGTTGAACTCAACTTCGATGCCCGTGGTAGCAAAAATGATTCCGGTAGGGATAGTGAAAAGGATAGCAAGAGCAAGACCGAAGAAGACGGTGCCGACACTGGTGTTGGTAGGCCATCCTGCTACAGAGGCAATGCCAAAAGCAACTCCAACGAGCTATATCGCATTAGTAAATGCTACTATGCTTCTCCAAAGAACTTACGTTGAGTATCAAGTACCACCACTCTGGAACCTCGGTGTACTGCTCCATCAGTTTTGTGTGAATATCCTTGAACTCGTTAATCTTGCTATTCTTCTTGAAGCTTTGCCAGAGCGACACGAAACCAAGCTTGATGTCGTTCCAGTGATATAGGGCAGCATAGGAGATGATCGCGCTATAAACGGCGAAGAAGTAGATGCTGTCCTTGTCAGTGACATGCAGGTTACGAGTCAAAGCGAAGAGCTTACTAGTATGTGACGGATGACGCAGCGATGTAGACCTGGCTGTAAGCCTGATACTTCTCTGCGTCGAGCAGACCGCGATCATCCAAGATAGAAGATACGTTGTACTTGGCGCCGGTATGATCTAACATGGTGTTTGTGTTGATGGGGAGGTATCCAGTGTTGTACGTGTTGTTCCAGTACATCCCGATGATGGTAATACCGCCCAACAAAGCCCCGAGGAACATGTTGACAGTGACATGGAAGGGGACCAGCAGAGGATCGATATAGTAAGTGGCAACGTTCCAGTCAAAGGTTGGAAGAGGGTTGAAACCAAGGCCTTTGGATACACCGGTGATAGCTGTGAGGGTGAAGTTGTTGGGCGAGATCCATGCAAGCCAGTTGAATAGAGACAAAGCTGAAGCGATGAGGTCGGGGAACCAGAACCAGATAAACATGGCTGCGAAAGATAGCATAAAGAAGCGGTACCGTGACATGGTGTACATCTTCTTGAAGGGACCAAGTACGCTTGCGTTTCCGGATTCTTCGACGGTCAGTCACCTTAAAACACTAAATATATGGCTTCTGCTTACCGTTATGTAAACTCTGGTTGAGGGCGATGGTTGCGAGAGAGCGAGGCCAGATACAGAACGATGGGTAGACCAGGAAACGACGCGCCAGTCCAGCAAGACCGAAGCCCAGCAAGTTCATTGCCAGCTATTGTCGTTAGTAAATCTCAATGAGTTATCTCGCCGTCCTACTCACCGAAAGACAGATCTGAAAGCCAAAATCGGCGGCAAACGGCAAGTCAAAATACTTCTTCAACCAGCTCGTAAAAATGATGTATCGTGAATGAGGCAAACTCGTCGAGACATTCGCCATGATTGAGATCAGCATATGCTCCTTCTGATTGAACTTTCCAGGATTGAGCTGCAACTTTTGACCAAACACCGTGAATTCGCCTTTTGGGAACCATGTCTCCCAAGCTTTACCCAGCGGAAATGAGAGTAGTTGAATGACTGGGGCTTGAAGTCGAATAGTCGGCTGTCGCACTGAGAACAGCTGGTTCACGAAGCTCTGCACGATCACGAAGAACAAACCGATGGTCCAGGCTCGAATCGTTCCCGCTGGTGTCGATGGATCGTCCTTGTTGCTTACTACGGCGCGGACTTCTGCGTAGGGTGAGTTGATAGTGACAAGTGCAATCTCGGTTTTTATATCTGAGATTAAATCTTCGTGTTTGTGAGGATTGGTGAAGATATCTTCATTGCTCAGGAATTCCTGAATACGCATGATGGATTCTGAGCTGAAGTTGGGGTCGTGCTCATGGAGGTACATCAAGGTTTCGGCGCGCTGGGTCGATGTTAGTAAATATCAACGGTCAACATTGAGTCTCCGCACCCTTCTCGTCTCATCCAAGTCCATGGTGCGCGCATGCTCCTCTGCCTCGAGAACTTCCTCCGGTGTAGCACCCAAGACCTGGGCCATTCCGCTCACGGACTCAATCTTGAGAGATCCCGTAGAAACAACATCTTCTCTCTTGTCCGTCGCTTGGATACCATTGTCTGTGACGGCTTTCTCCGAATTGGAAGCCATGTCTGTATTGGATTGTGATGGATCGGCAGATGTGTCTTGAGCAACAGAAGTTTGGGAGGCCATCTTATAAAAAGCGTATTGCAGATCCGTTCGGACGAGGCCGATTGCGACCCAGTTGTCTTGCAGCACGTTTTTTTCTTGGCGAGTCTCTCAATGGAGTAATCGCGCACGACAATCGTCTGTGTTCACGGGCTTAATGTCTATGTTTGTCCTGGTAATGTCGCATGGGGCCCTGTGGGTTGTCGGGCCGGCGATGGAGCCCCTAAGAGATACAATTGATAAAAGTATCCAGTGGCCAGGGTTTTTCTACAAGGACTTCTTCTTAAGGGATTGCCCAAGACAAGCTTTTAAGTCTATTTGATAATGATGCAATCAAAACAATTGAGAAAGCCACATACGTCTCGTGATGTTTGTTGACATCCAAAACAACAAAGTTTTGGTAACGATAGGCAAAACATCTCGTGGCGTTAACTGCCAAAGGTCATGGGATATCAGCCACATGAAAGCTTTTCCTTGTGGGGTACCTATCAGGGATCATTGAGGAACGACATGCAGAACTCAAATTGCGTGCTTGCAAAGCGGGTGTTTATCATTTTCGGGCCGCGATATTTCTCCATCGTATAAACTTTTTGAACTATCGCGCCTTCGCATCCTTGTTGTGAGCGATCGGTTTCGGTTTTTCCCTTACGTATATCCTTGCAGCGGGGTACAAAAGAATGTGTCTTCGGGAAATGGGATACAACTCAAACTGAGCGATGCTACTCAATATCCCATTCCTTCCAAATGATACTCAACCGCTCCTTGATCTTGACTCTCTACCCTCCAACATGTCGACCATCAACAATTTCACCTCACATCATGACAGTACCATCCCTCAGCCCAGTGCTTTCTCTCAAGTTCCACCGCGGAACACGAAGCCACTATGGCGTGCATCACAAGCCAGCATCTTTGATGAGCCTTGCTGAAGCAACGGTAAACAGTTTTGACAAAATGGAGTGTCCCAGCAGTATTTGCAAATGTTGATATCAGTCTCGAAATCCCAGGTCCCTCCGCAATTTCCGTTGCAGAAGTATCGCGAATTGATCACAATATCTAAGTGATCTCATACGGCCGGTTTGGCCAATTTTCACCTTCTGTAGCCGGTTGTTTCTCGACCAGGAGTGAATTAATCCTCTGATAGGACTCGGTGGTGGCGGTCTTCTCATCTTTGTCATTTTTCTGATGGACTCGGCGAGAAAGTCTCTTTCGTAAAATCAAGAAGCTCCGTTGTGGTGATTTTATCCTGAGCCGTTAGCATGTTCTTGCGGAAATGTTCTCTTGCTGCAGTGATATTTCCTCGTAGGGTCTCATAGGCTCCAAGATAAGACTCAGCTGGGGATACCAGGTTGTTATCGTACGAAATTCCGTGGCTGGTCGTGATTTCACCGAGCTTTCAAGCGCTGAAGCCTCAGTCTTTACTGCTGTTGATTCCCTGAAGTAATGGCAGACTATATCACTAAGAACCTGGCCACTCAAACACATCTATTTCCACTGTACGTAAGTGCCGGCTTCTTCAATCACCTTTCTCGCATTAGGGTGGCAGTCCTCCCAAAGTCTGACAGCGGATGTGAGTGGATTCTCATCAACCTCATTGCTGTAATAATAAGGTGCAAGACCCTTGTGGAGTCGGAGTAGGCTTCTTGAGAATAAAAGCTCCTTCTCAGCTACGAGCTAAATGGCTTCGTCTATGGCATTCAAAACCATCCCCAACATCCTATCACGACAATCAGTTAACTAGAGAAGACTAGTGAAGTACCTCTCGTGAGTGTCTTCATCCGTTGCCATGGGTAGAATTGCAGAACCAAGGCGACTTGCACCGCCATTTGTAGACGTCTCAGGACTCATGGATTCAACAAGATCTCATGAATGGTCATTAGGCTGCGATGTAAGGGTGGCTTCCAGTATGCGGTAATATTCTTCATCAGCACGATGGCAAGAGTGTGCTAGACCTCTTCGGCATGTCCATGACACTCCAAACATCTTGGTAGGCTTCAAGAATATTGCAGAAGCTTAGTCGAACTGGTCGACTCTTCTGGCAGTTTCTCAAACTCTCTCATATCATAAAGATTGCTCGTCCAAACTTGAAGTATAACTCGCACCATCGTCCTAACTTATCCAGATCGAGAGATTCTCATCTGTGCTCAAAAACAACAAGCGAATCGTCAGAGGGATCTGATGCCCCCTCTGAAACTTCCTTGCATAGCATTAGTCTCCCTAAACCTCTTTGCTCTTGATAATCTCGGTGAGGTGAGCGCCCAGGTCGTCGAAGCCGTTTACTTTGCTCAACTTTTCGTCAAGATGCTTGACATCGCTAAGCATGCTGTGCGTATCGGTCAGTCTAAATGCAGTCCGGAACCCAAAAAGAAAACAAGCCATAAGATGGTGTCTGTTCTTACCAATCACGACCACCTTCTGTTTCCAGGATGGCTTCCTTGAACGCCGTCCCCAGATGTTCCCTGTAACTTGCAAAAACGCGTACCATGACCAACTGCACCGCCTCCTCGGGCAGGCGCTTGCTAAGTTCTTTGTACAGTCTACTCGTGTCCCTGGTGAGATCCACCATGTACTCGCGGACGTCGCCTGCGCTCTCCTTACCCCAGTCGGTCTCAAGCGCTTTCTTGGAGAGTATGCGAGCTCGCGAGCCCATAATTTCGACCAGTTTTTGGCAAATACCATCCTGGTGCTCCTGAAAGGCGTGGCGCACCTTGTCAAACTCTGTCATCGGGTTTGCGGGCGCATGGCGACGGACAAACTCGCGGATATGGGGGATTATAGTAGAGATAAATGATAAAGCCTGAGATGTGAGTGCCAAATGAGTAGTTGTAATATTTTTTAGACCAGCTGAGCGTAGAGCACCAGCGCCGAAGATTAGCTGGCGACACCGAGAGTCAAATAGTTGCAGGTATGAGACCAATGAAGAGGCGATTGCTGCCGCCATAGATGGAATACCGTATATCAGTCGGAGAAAGTGAGAGATGCCCTCTAAGCAAAGAATAGCGGATTTCGGGAGGAGAAAAGTCTGTTGTTCAATGGTGGCGCCTCTAAGCTTGTCCTTTGATATCAACTCCTCAGCATCGTCTGTGATCTCGTCTTTATCTTGTGCTATCGGTGCCGAGACCCTGCTTGTCTCGGTCCACGCTGTCGGGTCTGTTGTGCTACACTCGAGAATCTGCTGAAGAATTTCGTTATACTTGGGTGTGAAATCCGTGTCTTGCCACAGGTCAGCACTCATCCCTTGGGCAAGAGCTTGGTTTTCTCTGTCGCCGTGCGCCTGAATGAAGTCTTGGATGTGGCCATTGATTATAGCCTTGAGAGACATGCCGGGTTGCCCTGAGATAGCCTCGCATTCATTGACAAAGAAGAGATTGAGAGTATAGTAGCGTATAAAGTATGGCAGCGGGAGATTTTTGGTTTGTTCGGATCGGACCCGGAGGATCTTAGTGATCTTTTCGTGACTGACGTTCACTCCATGACTCAAGAGATTGGGGAGATCAAGTGCAACATGCATTTCCTCCTGGGCACCGAACATTGACACATTCCCAGATGGATTTGGGCTGCCGATTGGGGAGGTAATGTTGGGAGACTTGATAGGATCCGCGGAATCAGGGTTCCTGATTAGGCACGCGATATCTAAGAGGAGGCTGGATTGGGTTTTTAGCCGTCGAAGCGTCTCTGCAACCGAAATGAATAAGCTAGAGAGTAGCTCTTCGGCATCTTCCGCTTCTAGAGAGCGGAGGTTCTGAGCCAGGATGAAAGATTTCTCTTGGGTTGTGCGACTGCGGCCTCCACTGATAGTTGAAGCTGACGTTACGGATTCAGTATCATCGGCAGAACTAGGGAGTGGTCTTCGAACCACGTTGCGAATCTTTCGCAGCACCAGTTCTCGATAACCCTGAATGGCTGTCGAGATCGACCCACATCGATAGAGTCCGTGAATGTTGGGCATGAGTGCCGTACGTAGATCAGTAGTCTGAGTCATATAGGTTGGTAGAGCTGAAGGCTTTTGTGCGTACCCTCCCTTGGCCCTTAGTGACGCAGCTTCCCATCTAAGGAGAACTTCCTGCTTTGATACTGACTGGCTATGGCGCTGTAGATCATCGATAAGCATAGAATGAATCCTCGACTCGAAGATTTTGGCAACTCTAGACCGCAAAGCTATCAAGTCATTGACCGCGCCTTGCAATGCTGTGACTCCGCGTATATCTCGTAGCTCAATATTCATCAATGTTTCGTCCTCGGATACCTCACCATGTTCGCCGGCCATCAGCGACTCTATAACATCAATTTTAACCAAAGACTTCTCGACTTCTCCTTCATCAACAAGTGACTTGCAATAGGTAATTTTGTCCATGATGTACTTTAGCTGCAAGACTGCATCGCTTGTAAGTTGGAGACGACGGCGTACTTGACGCTTCTGCGAAAGCTCCAGACCCTTTACTACAAAATCTTGATTCAATGATGCCAGGTCCTTACGGAGCGTTATTATCTTATCGACTGAATCAGCCGCTTCCGAGTGTAATTCTTTCAAGGAGCCTAGAGCTGAGAAAAACGTCGTTGAAGCCATAGAGATGGAATTTATCAGATGCAGCTCTACAGTATCCATATACCAGGACAGCTTCTCTTGTAGAATCGCATTTGTGGCCAGTGGCTTTCTCGGTGCCAGAGTATTGTTTGCCTTCCGGGCGTCCTGGGGCACAACCTCTGATCGCTCGCTCACCACCTGGAAAGTTCGGGGGTTCTCAAGGCGAAAGTCTCCGCTGAAATATATATCAGGAACGATTGATAGTGAAGGTGCCCGGTGGCCCTTGGGATTAAAACCACTGCTTGCTTGCCCATAGTATGAGCCATCGAATGGAGTGGTGGCCGGCGTAAGCGACAAGACAGAGTCATTCCTACTAGGGGACGACAGTCTCGCAGTCTGGCGTGAATCCTCAAGCTCTCTGCCTTTCACAAAATTCCCAGTCTTACTTTCCGTCCATGGTTCGTTTTCGCTTTCTTTCAATCGTTGAAGCCTATCGTATAGAGGGGCCATCTTTGATACGTACGAGTCGAACTGGGCGGAATCGATGTAGGGGATATTCGTCAAGGTAACTGGAGGAATATCTCGTATGGTTGGCATCTTATAGGCGGAATGCATGGCCGACGTAGCAGCGCTAGGCATGCCGAGAAGGGAAATCAAATGCAGGGCAAATATCACAATTCCTTTAATAGCCGATGCTTATTAATGACTTGCGCTGTGCTCGTTGAGCCTGGCTGATGACACGATGTGATGATCTGACAGTTGTCAGTTCTAATGACGCGACGTGGGTTGCCCAATACCAGGGGACGTACGTGGAGACCGCGTCAAATAGGCCGGCAATTACCCGCCGACAAAATGCTTTTAATAGTTCAAGTACACGATTAATGGCAAAGTCTTTGTCTCATCAAGCAATAACAAGTGCATAATAGTGACTGAGGTATCTGCGCTAAATCCAACATGATAACAAAAAACCGAGAACGCCATTTTGACCAAAAACTTCAGTAGCCAGCCGAGTCTCACAAAATGCCTTCCCAATCCTGCGCCGGGGTATAGTAACCATGCCTCATCACTCGCAGATCTCGGTGGCATGTATAACGTCGAGATCGAGCTCAATAAAACGAAACATTAAAAAAAGAACTCGTAGAAAGAAAGTTTAAGCCGTGCTGAACGCATGCTCATGCATGGCGGGGACATGAACACGGTTCAACGATTCAAGACAAATGCGACATTCGCGCAATGTCTCTTTGAAGAAGAAAAGAACGGCTTCGGGCTTCGCGCTTGGCGTAGAGAAGACCACAGACGTTGCAGAGAGTATGAGACCCGAAAGGGCCTTCGCGCCACATTGGAGTCTCTTTAATGAAGCATGATGTGCAGCACGGGGTTGGCTCATGTGTTCTTGGTGACTTCTGCTTATTTCGTTAGAATGAAGAAAAGACATTCTGTGGAAATGAATGACATACCGAATGTCGCCTCAGCCTGTTACGCCACGTGCGGGCTTCATAGGTGTCCTTGAGACTGGCTCTAGTAGACCTTGACCGGATTGACCGTGCCGACGCGGCGGGTGATCTGAGAGATGAAGTGCGCGAAGCAACCTTCAATTGAAGGTGAGTATCTCTCTCTGGTTTCGTAGCCAAGGGACTCGGAATAGCTGTATTTTGAAACAAAGCAACCTCACAAAGAGGTAGACCATTCCGTTGGATGTCCTGGATGCTAGGTCGAATCTGGAAGAGGTTAGTCTGTGTCACCGGCAACGGGTAAACAAAGGCGCGTAGAAGGGACTCACGTGTCGAGGTGATTTTCTCAGCGAAAGCAAGGAACATCGTCGGGGCGGGAAAAGGCTAGACTCCGGGAGATCAACGGGACAAGGAGGGTGAGCACGATCTCTTCGGCGCCGAATTGGCTTTCCCGTCTTGGCGAGTGTCTGCTGTGGATGTTTCATGATGGAACAGGAACGGGGACAGTTGAAGAGGAGAGGGGAAATCCGATCTCGAAATTCAAGGGAGAGTTTTGGGATCGAGGCGGTACTAATACCCCCTCTGAGGCACTTGCTAAAGTTAGACCGAAGATTGCCCCAGAGGAACCCTTGTAGATCACTGCGCGATTGGGTCTGGACTGTGCAGAGACCCTGATTCAGGGTCCATCCGCGGATCCGGAGGAAACCTACCGACTCCATTGACAATCACCAACAAGACTGCATTTTCACAACGGGGAAAAGGAAACCCGATGTCTCTCAACATCACAATTCATTCAGCCCTCCATCTAAACTTTGACCAACAGTTTCTCGCACAGTTATCGCAACTGTCCAGCCAAAGTCCCTCCTCGCCTTACCCCCTTATTTGCTTTGCTTTTTTCTCTCAGAGCTTGAGACGTCTCACCCGCTCGGACACTGCACTTGGTGTCCCTCACAGCAACCTGGCATGACAGTAAGCCCGTTTCCACAGTTCCTTGCATGGCGGCTTGGCTTGTACCGTGGCTGTCTACGATTGATAGATAAGACTGGTCCCCCGGCCTGCTTGCAACACTGATTAGAAATGATTTCGTCTCAAAGAGTTGCAACTCTCATCTACCGACGCGTAAGCCACGGCGCGTTACTCCTCGCCCCTACTACACGCTAAACACAGGACAAAACGGGCGGATGACTTGTTTGTGTGTGTTGTACAGTGTAATCTTTACTAGAGGTCGCTTGCGCAGAGGATCAGGTGGTTTGTTCTCACTGTGTCGACCTCCCCACTCCAGAGTCGGCATTTGAGCTGAAAGGAGCTCATATCAGCCAATTGAGGGGTAAAAAGTCAGGTGTCAGAGTTACCCTGAACTCCGCACCTCTCCGGATTCCGCCAAGGTCAGGTAATCTAATGTCGAAAAGGACAGGCGATGCGACGTCGTACTGTAGGGCCGTAGCAAATGAAAATTCGAAGGACCGGAGGACGACTCCGGAGGTGATGTGAATGGTTTGATTGGTCATGTTTGCTGATGCGATTTTGACTTCACGGTTGCTGTTGAGGGACCTTTGTTAATGGGCTTGCAAACAGTTCGCGATTGGGTGCAGTTAGCTTCTGGGCAACGCTCCTCTTGTGCTATTACCGGGGGGAATTGCTGGAATAGGTTTGGTGATTTTTTTAAACTTAGTTATTTGCTTCGAATACTGCTGATACGTTGCCATTTCCTGATCTCCAATGCGCCATCTGTTTCTTTCATGATTATGACGCTCGAACGCTGCAATAAAAAAATGGGAATGTTTCCTCTCCTGTCCAAGCATCGCCATGCACCTGCCAAGAGTGAGGGGCTGTGGGGTATCCTTGGGGGCCACTTGGCATGGTATTAAGTAGAGGTGATGAGGTTTGAATGGTCATCGCAGTCCCAGGGAATGAGAACCCTCAGTCGAGACCTTTGTTGACCTCGACGATGCGTCAGAAACAGAGTCGCACCCAAACTCCCTTTCCAATAAGAACGACCGGGCCTTTACCTCCCTCTTAGCGTACAGCAATCCACAGACGTTGCAGAGGGTACGACGTCCCGATGGTCCAGACCTCCATTTCGGCGTCTCAGTTACATGACAGAACTCGCATGACCTGATATGATCCGGCGCCTTGGATGCTTTGTGTTCCCGCGCGCAGGGACAGGAGATAGTAGCCTGTCGCGATGGTGATCGGCGCATGGTGGAGTGGTGCTTATGCGTACTCCGCCAACCCTCGGAACTCTTGTATTTCCGCTTTGAGCTGCTGCTCTTCCGCGGCGGCTCTAAGAGCTCTGGCTCAGCGGTTTCAATACTACGCGCATATTGGCACGGCATGATCTTAAAGCTTGGCCTGAAAGGCTTCTGATCCTTAGCGAGCGTGGACGGGATCGTCGCGGTCTGGAATAAGGGGACTTCGCAAAGCGGCCGGCCGAAACGCTCGGGATCGAATTGGAAATCCTGGGTCACGTGAGTAAAGACATTTTGCGCAGAACACGGTAATTACCCACGTCCTGCTCGGTCGCAAGAATTGTTACGGGAATGAGAGTATTACGCAAAGAGCAGGACACATTGTGGTTTTGTAATCGGTTGCACCGCCTTTACGGCCCCAGGGGGAGGCTTTGTTGGAGTTTCGATCTCGAGGGGAAGCCTTTTTTGCAGGCATCGTGGATTTCTATATAATCTCTCCAACGATCGGAAAACTGACGTCGATATGATGTAATCTTCAATGCACAGCTTCCCGAGAACCCTGACGGAGCATTTACCTCAAATGGTTTAGGGATGCGGGTTTCCCTGACTGCTTGTTCGGAGCGAGCTGGCTTTAGTGTTTTGTGACAGCTGTTTCGTGTCTGTCCTCGGTGTCGTATGATGGGATTCCTGTATCATTCTGGGCACAATCCTGCAAAATGCTGAAGGAATTTGTAAATGTCCCTTGGGTTATCCCCATGGAGAACTTTTGCACTAGGTATTCGGGGGTTGGATGTGCTATGATGTGCATGCGCGTAGGACGAGAATAGTGCCATTTTGCGGTGGATCGAGGGGTTGATGATTGTCCCCATTTAGCTCCCTTCATGCACGCTTCACGCAAATGATAAGCAATAAACGATGCAGAAATAGAAGCAACCTTATGACTCGGAGTTCCTTCTAATTTTAATTATTCTGATTTTCGATTTCTTCCATTTTTCTTTCTCACTCTTTTTCTTTGTGGCCCTCGAAAAGCGATGACTGTTGTTGAAACTCGATCGAACGGCGGGGGCCTTTGAAGTCAAACCCTGTTGCCTGTGTGTCACATCGTGGAGCAAATGCTCCGAGCCAACCAACAGCTTTTTTGCCGTGGTCTCTTTTCCGGAACCAAATGATTGGCTTATCATCCTGGCCCGCATTTCAACCTACCCTGCATGATCAATTTGCGATGGCAGCAAATTGATGTGAGCTCCTCTGGAGTGAGAATAACGCTTCCAATACTTTTTGACCGTCTTCAGTCTATGGCTAGCTTCTACAAACGCGATATCCCATAGAAACACTGGTACGAGAGAATCAGGACCATAGAACCAGCATGTTGATCTTTGGCGATGTACTTGAACAGGCATAACAAAATTCCGGCACACGAGTTTGACTAAGGTCTTGGCTCTTGCTGGGAAGGGTTGGTAGAGAACAGACTTGAGCCTATACGATCTGGTGACCGCTCCAGCAGAATTTGAGTTGTGATTTATCATACAATATTGTACAGCTTGGGGACAGCTTCAGCTTCGTCCCTAACTTGTTGCACACTCGATTGAACTTGTCCAAACACTGCGCCCTGTCTCGTAATCCATAGAGGCAGGCCATGCGACTGACACCAAACAGGCATGCGCTTCTTCCCAAACTGATAACCCTGCAGCCTTTTTCCAAGCATCCACATAGCCAGTAAAAGCTCCTTGAAGGTTATCCAGCAATGAGTCATGGGTTTTCGCTTGCTGTTTGGCGATGCTATACGCTCCCAGGAACGCTCGCCAGAGCCAAAAGTCCGTAGAGACGTTTAGTCCTAGGGTGCTAACCGACTGACTTAGATCTCGATTCAAAATGCATAAGAATCTTCGAAAGAGACGAGCGTCGATAGACTCACCGCCGTTCCAGAGTTCCAGGACGCTGTGCATATACAAGCTCGATGCAGCGCACATACCAGACCAAGAAGTGCTATACTTTGAGGACTGTGCTGATGAGAACATATCGTCGTGGAACAGAGACGAGAAATGGGAGCCGATGGTAGCGCAAAGTAGTCGAGAATCCGAGCCCTCGATCCATTCCCAGCTGGGATCACATTTGTAACGGTCCTCTCTGACTGTCTGAGTTGATGTAGTAACATGCTTCAGGCAGTCTATCAGAGGCGACGCGTCGATACTGTGGAACTGCGTTGTAGAGGGAAGAGCTGCGAAAAAGAAAGGTAAGAGTTTCATGGCGTTGAGACGCATTTCGAGATGGCCGATGTTTTGCGTCTTCCAGAGGTAAATTTGTGACACGAACGTGGAGAACTCTGCGGTGTTGTTTTGCCGGAACAGATTTTGCAAAGAATCGCTTCCTAATATTCTGGCTTTGAATCCTTGATAGGCATAGTATGTGCTGAAAAGGTAAGCATTGATGAAATATTCATCAGCAAAGACTACTTACAGCAAGAGATAGCGATTGGCAAGCTCTTCTTCGATTTCGGATCGATTGCTGAAGCCGTCATCGAGGGGGCTCAGAAGGTGGACAGCGTTTACGAGGCCGTTGATATGAGCCTCTGTGTCATGTACGTTACCGTAAGCTGCCTTTTGATGGTCAGCGATTGGCGAGGCATCATCAGTAGGGGAAGGGTACTTCTATGAAGCAAAGAATTGAGACATGTCGAATGAAGGTCATCAGTCCTGGCTGGTGTATGTTCTGCAACCATCGGTTCAAGACTTGGATCGTAGAGACTTTGTGAAACAAAAATGTTGGTTTATATGTTTCAAGATCGCCAACAGTCCATGCATAGTGCAGGCCAGCCACCAGAAGAGTGTCCCGTAGAGCATCAGGATGTTGAGCGACAGAAGAAAAGCTATATATGCCCAAGGTAAGCATGGGCCGAGTGAAGAATGACAAGTACGTACATGTTTCTAGAGGCTTTACTAAGTACCAAATCGGCACTATCGTGGCTGTTATGGACTTGTACTGTCAGCGGTGTTGCTGGTCTATGCTGCGTGGCTTTTCGCTTACAGTAGTGAAGTAGCTCTCTTGAGCGGAGAGTCATGTCCAAGCCTAAACAGTCGAAAGGCTCCACTGACTTTCCAAAGGGGGAATTAACGATTAGAGTTACTGGCGGTGCGTCCTGGCTTATAACCCAAGGTTGCTGTTCGCCAGGAAGACAGATAGCCTTACGGTCCCGAAGTGGGATACCAGGATCAGCAAACTCGCATATCCGCCCTGCACTGACACATCGGGTACTGCATTTATCAGTTGCACAATCACTACAAATTGACAAACGTCTTGTGTAGTACTTTCGACTATTTGTTGCAATTGGGTAGCAAACTCCGACTTACCAGGTTGGTTTTCCGCCATCACAACGCACGCGACGCTTTCGACACGTCAAACACCCCGTTTTACTCCTAGTGTGGGGCCTCCGAGTCCTTGTCGTCGTACTCATGCTGACCGGCTCAAGCTTGTTCTGAGGAAAACTTCAGGGAAGATGATCGGCGATGGGCTGATGAGTTGTGACTTTCAGTGAAAGAGGGAGGAGTTTTGCTTCAAACACAGGCGTTGACGAGGTATCGGGAAGCCACTCACGGGATTTGAGGATTGCGGCTACAGGATGAGCGATTTGGTTACGATAGTCTAGACTGGCTAACGCTATAGCGCTAACATCTGTTCCCGAGAAGACACGCGGAGAGATGATAGATCACTAACATCTTGGCAACGACCTGGAGTCTCCACTACCAACCACAGAGTCACTTTTGAGTGGACATGAACGGCGTCCAGCCTGTCAGCAACTAACCCTTTTCGAGGAGAATAAACGAGCTGAACGACAAACCCCGCTGTCTTTATCCAGCCACGATTTGGAAACAGATCGTAAGCCGACTACAGATTCTCACTCCCTTATTCCCCTCCCTCACTGAATCCCGAGCCAATATCGTCCAATCAATCTACAACATGGCCCAGAAACCTAGCCTCATATTTGTGCCTGGTGCGTGGCATAGCCCTGAATGTTGGGGCAAGATCATGTCCGCCATGGAGGCTAAGGAGTTCAAGTGTATTCCCGTCGCACTTCCGACAAACCAATCAACAAGCACCGACGTTAACTACTCGCATGACGTTAAAGCTGTCGCTGATGCCATCGCTGGCGAGGTGTCGCAAGGACTTGATGTCGTTGTCTTAGTTCACTCCTATGCTGGACCGGTGGGACAAAGTGCCATGAGAGGCTTCACCAACAAATCTGCCGACACAGACGGAAAAACTGGTCGCGTGATAGGGCTTTTCAATGTTGCGACCGGTTTCGTTCGCGAAGGCGCATGTTTTCTGGACGCTCTCGGCGGCAAGCCCCTACCGACTTGCGAAGCTGACTACGAGAACAATCTAATGATCATCAAAGTCGACCCAATCGACATGATGTACCACGATCTCCCGACAGAAGAGGCCGAGTACTGGGTTGGAAAGCTCAGCAAGCAAGCCTTGACCGGTTCGACGGAAGGGTACGAGGTGACGTACGAGGGATGGAGGGATGTGCCTGTCTGGCAGGTTATGACCAAGGACGATAGGGCCTACCCTTACGAAGCGCAGAAGATGCTGGTCCGAGGCGCGGAAAAGCTTGGTGCGGATGTCACGAAAAGGATTATTGATAGTGCGCATTTGCCAATGTTGAGTAAACCTGATGAGATTGTCGGGATTCTGGAAGAGGCGATCCAGGCATTCACTTCATGAGAGACATACTGGTAGACAGGGCTGGCCTGTCTACCATGTGTCTATGTTTCCTTCTATTTCGATAGCTTGTGGAGTTTTGTTTCTAGAGCGGCATTAGTTGGGGAAAGTCATGTTTCTGAGATTTTGATATTGGTGGCGATGATATATTGACTCGCAGTCTAGACCACTCGCAACACGCAATGAACTTCTATCACCAATAAGGTTCTTTGAAATACGTTTAAATAACATGGACACTCAAGAAGGCGTCTTGGCCTACTCATCAGTTCGCCCTCAGCTTCATACCTCCAACACACATTATCATACCTTTCAATTCAGCGTCCAGGAGTCTGTCTGACTCTGGAGGCCTTGGTGTGTCCAGAAAGAGTGGCCTATATCTGTTGATTGATAGTCAAACCTTGTGACATCTCAACGAGACACATCAAGGCAACGCTTGAAAAACTCCAATTAACTTCACCTTTTGGAAAGCAATATGCGCAGATGTATCAGTCACATTCAAGAACACATGCATGTCTCTTAATCGGACGTACCCCGTGGGGATGGGAGCTTGTGGAACTGGCGTGCTCGTATCATCTTCTACACGTACCGAGCCCAAGCATTCCTTGGCCACTGATGCCTTGATCATTGAAGTGATTTCTCATTCGTAGCTCTGGACAATGCCACTGTTCGCGAACGAATTGGGGATGATTCAGGATCCTTCAAGTCCCTCAACTACCATCCTACGCGCGAATCCCAGAAACCAGAGAGTTATGGGTAATGCGTACTGCATAGAGACCTTGAGAACTATTTCTGGGATGGGAGATCTAGTGCCCTTTACGAGGATGCCATCTGCCTATTGGCTCTTGCTACCCTTGCTTTCAACATTAACGACCTCGTTAGCATTAATGATGACCCTCAGATAAGGTTTTCGCAAAGATCTATCATTCGCTGGGAACCCCCAGCACGAAAGCTAAGAGCTGAGGGATTGCGCTCGTGATGAGAAGCTTTTATCATTTAAAAAAACTGCCGTTTTCTTCCTCTACTTTTACTTTCAATATCAAAAACTTTATGAATTGAAGGCTTTGCAAATTGGCATCGAATGGCTGAAGTATGAGCCAAATTATTCTCAGTTGAGATTCGTGACTGGGAGCCTATATCACCACAAAAAACTTTTGTTTATTAGAAATACAGACAACCAAAGTGTGATAAGGATTAAGCTTCAGTGAGCCGGTTTAACCTTAAGAGCTTGAGTTCACGGACAAAGTTAAAATTTCACGATTTTAAAAACCCATCTATCTTTAAGATTTAGACGTGACTTTAGACTTCCATCTTATTTTTTGTTTATTTCAGCGATGCATGAACTTCCAGCTAGCGACCCCGAGCTGAAAGTCGAGTCTTTATCGGACTTATCCTCATTCCATAAATTTTGTCAGTTACCAGCGGAGCTCCAATTTATGATCTGGGAAGCGGCCTTTGATGCAACTTCAAGGTTTATTAATATTCACCTCTACATGGCACTCGGCTACGATAGTCGTTCCAACCTGCCCAGGCCTAATATGTGCATAACTGGCGGAGAAGCTTCATCCTTCGGGGACGCGAAACGGACAAATTCAGGGAGTCGCACAGACTGAGCTTGGCTTGTTGGGTTGCTCGCAAAGTCTATCTCTTGAGATACCCACAAACCATCATCCTGTTAAATTCGGTTAGGCGAAAAGATGGTTATTCAAGAATAAGATGCAATATCGCATACGACATTTTGTGCATCGAGAAGATCAATAGAATCTTTCATGACCACGACGATAGGCGACTTTTTACTACTCAAGTCTTAACGCAGGTGGCTCGGCAAGCCTTCAGTTCCAGCAGAAAGGTGCTTTCCTCATTTCAGCACGTTGCCGTTCTGCTTCGCAGAGGCTACCCAAGTAGGGATCATCTTGCGACAGCTTTCGCAACCGCACGCCTATATTTCACGGTTCAGCAGGCAACATTGTTCCTCTTTTCTTTTTTCGAGTCCATCAGACACCTTTACTTTCCCGTCGAGTCAAATAATTCAGCCACGGATGACACAGAGTTCTTCCGGGGTCTGCCTACCCAGGGCTACACACCGGCGCCAGTTCAGTCTTTCCTTGATTTTTACGACCGCATCCAGCGTTATCCTGAGCAGGTTAATGACTCCTATTGCGATGTAAGTCATCGGAAATGGAAACCAAGGCCACTCCGCGACATACAGTGCTATTATGGCCGTGAGTGGCTACAGAAAGCATAGCCCGGGGAAACCGTTTCTCCCAGGCAATAGGCAAACAGTCCTGATGAATCCCTACCCTCCTAATAAGGCTGATCTCATGTCAACTTATCAAGCGACAAGAAATTCCCCTCTGGGCGGGGTTTCAAACGAACCTCCAAAATTTCTCCAGAGTAGCCCAATTCTTTGACACCAAACTAGCCTACTTGACCACAAAGAATCCTTGAACAAGATAGCTTATCCAACTCATGAAATCATAATGCTTCTATTCATGGCTCTCATCTCTTTATCTTATCGCATCTATCTCCAAATCGCGTATAGAGTGACCAATCACCACATTTTACCCACAATGTCGAACCCCCACCATTTCAACGCCAACCATACGAAGTAAGTATCAATTTCAGAAAGTTGACCGTAAACAAGTTGTAAAAATATGACAAATGGTCTCAACATGTGCCATTACAAGAAGATCCTTTCCGACTGTTGCCTAGAGTTGACGCCTCAGGCAGTACTAAATACTTGGTCATATAAAAGGCGTCTCAGTTGTCATTCCATTCCCATCATAATCTGTTCACATGATACACATATCGCATTATCGCATAACAGAATTGACAAGTTACTTTCATTCCAATAATTCATTATGGCCTCATCTCAAACCGATCCCAATGTCAGCCACGACGAACGCTTCAGGCATGAAGTCTTGAAAGGTTTTGCGGAAGATCTTCAAGACGTAGCAAGTGACAAAGAGAAGCAAGATCTTCTCATATCTATCAAGAGCTTTGCTTTTCACTTCATCAAAGAGCCACTCAAGAGACCTATGGCAGAGTTCCCTACGGTACAGCAGAATCTTGACGTCTTGTGGTATATGTTCCTCAAAGCCAGCACCGCTATGGAGAGTGACAGCTTGTTTCAAGATCGTCTTGTTCTTCTTCTATTGTGGACGAGACAGTTTGATCTTGTGTGCAAAGATCTCTACACTGGGCAGAATATGGCAGGGAATTGGGAATCTTATGGTTTTGCACAGAGTCTACAGACATTCTGGGAAGCGCTCATGAAAGAAGGTTCAGAGGCTGAGCTACAAAGCCTTGCTACTTTCTCTGCCAAGGTCTTGGCTGCTGGCATATGCGATGAACAGATCTCCTCGACTGGACTATGGTATATGCGCGAGGTCCTTGAGGCCAACGATGACAACATTGCCAAGTTTCTGCCTGGCGCAGTTCTATGGATGGAACTATCTCCTCACGCGCTCCTCAAGGACTGCGTTCTCAAAGGAGACGAACAGCAGTCAGAACAGTCGTCACTAAATCTTGGGACCCTTCCGCAGGATCAACGCGTTGATGATGTCGGATTCAGCATGGCGCGGTGGTTGATTTGGAGACGTCGCTTCCAGAAGCTCAGCCATCACCCCGATACTTCACTTGCGCAACTTGCCAAGAAGGGATTCATGGCTATGATCCACTGCGGCCGAGATGTCGGCTACAGCGTCCCTGGTGAAGACGTATTTGCCAAAAAGTTACAGGCTACCATGTGGGCTGAACTCGTCAAGAGTGGAAAGGAAAGCCTGGATGGTGATGATGTCGATATCGACCCCGATTGGGTTGATGGGCAGATCGAGTGAGTATTCATGAAAACAGTTTTGTACAACTTGCTTTGATTTACAAATTTTGAGGTATAAATATCATTTAATTCGTGTACTCCGCTTGTAAGAACAAGCCGGCTATAAAAGCAATACGCTCGTTTAGCACTCAAATTCATTTCATCAACCCTAATCCATCAGAGCCTGGTCAAAGGATAATCCGTATCCTTCCCAATAGCAGACTCGATATCCTCACTACAGAATTCCTGCAGTGGTATAAACTCCTCCCCTGGGGCATCTGTAAACACCCCTCCGTACTCATCGAGATCACGTTTCGGGTACTGCCGTGCAGCAACCCAAAGTCTTCCGTCAATAAGTTCTGGGCTGATTGGGTGTTGGTGCTGAATCACTTTGACAGCAACTCGGAGAAGAGGTCGGATCAGAGGGAAGAACCATGCGTCATGGAAGGTATCGAGGAACCCGGCTTTGTCACATGTGTTGTGATAGAAGGCAAAGATCATCCGTGTACCGATGTTTGTGCCAAGTCGAAGACCCCGTATCCAGTTGTGTCCCGACATTGCTGGTCGGTCTTCTGCGGGAAGTGAATCATACACTCTGTGAAATGCCTGGTAGATTGATGCAGGCATTTGAATCTTGTATGGACGGAATCTTGACCCTTCTTCCAGCGCATCATGCCTAATAGTTGCCGTCATGTCAAAGTTGTCGTACTGAAGTTTATGGATAAATCTACTTGCGTCAGTCATCAGTAACAAATACACTATTATGGAACAGACCTGTAGTTATGGCATTCTGTTTGCGTAAACGCATAGTCAAAGTCCACTGCAACGTGGTATTCAGTCACATCATCCATGCCCTCCTTCGGTCTGGGTACATCCCTTCCAGCGATATCTTTAGTAAACTCGCCTCCGTTCAGGTCTCTCATTCTCTGATATTCCTGGCGCGCATATAACGTAGCGATATAAAACTGATCAGAGTCTCGGAAGAGGAAGTTTTGATCCCAATCGTCTTCTATCAATGATAATGCGGCGTCGATGAACTTGCGAAGGTCACTCAATGGACCTATCACTGTACCTGAGTTTAGAAATCGTGAGTCGCTATACTGAAGATCACCAGTGTCCGTTCTGAGTCCCCAGGTAAATCGAGGCTGAGATGAGAATGGAACAAGCCAACATCTTGGATCAGTTTCGCTCTCAGGCCAGCATCCCTTATCCGTTCCCCATAAAAGAGTCTGCTTTACTCCGGTTCGATGAAGCTCCTTGACGGTAATTCCACGTTGATCAGCAAGGCTTTGATCAGCCTCAGCCATCAGAGTGAAGTATCGCTGTATCATTGCCTCTGCCGGTAGTTGAGCCAGCACATCGAATCCGTCAACAATAATGACAAGATCGTCAGAGGCTCCTCCCGCATTGTACAAATAATCCTTGATGGCGCGCAATTTCGCAATATGTGCCTTTTGTGCGTCCAAGAATGTCTCTCCTCTGTAGCCTAGAATCGTCGGTATAGCGTATCGGTTTGCGAGCGCTGAAGTCACGACTGCGCATACTTGGCGGTTTGCGACATTTGCGGGGACGAGGTAGTGAAGCCTAGAGATTCGGTGTGAAGATGCTAGTAAATGGGAAGGGTTGGATGCATTCTTGATGTCCTGTATGCAAAGATCCGTTAGCTTCCCTGTGTCGTTCGATGGCAAGTTAACATACCAGGTTCCTACAGTTGAAGATCAGAAATATCAGCACCATTGCGACGAGGAATGCGCGGCCGCGGTTCTTCTGATTCCGATGCCGTTGAAGCTCCCTGCCCGGTGCGAGCATCCGCACCCTCTCTGACCACTCAGCATGGGAATAAATTGATGGATTTAGGTTATTTGTACTGAATAGCATCATCTTTTCTGGTTGGCCAGATTTGACTGTTGGAGGAAGCGGCCCATCTGCAGATGAAGAGGAGTCAAAGATAAGGGGTCAATTCGTGGCGCACGACCAAGACAATTACATTTCTCTACTCCAATTACAGTACGCTATGAATATGAAACAATTTTTACGTCCTCGCCCTTCCCTTGGCGCCGAGACCGACTTGGTCTACCAGTATTGGCATAACCGCGAATTCCGAGATACATATCACTGGAGCATGTCGTAAGAATGAGACTCTGTGTCGTATGGCAGGTGCGGCATCCAATATCATAAACTGACTGGTCTTCAAATTCACTTGGACAAGATGAGATTTCCACTTGTCGTTCGTTTTGAAGATGCAACAGACGTTCAAACGGCGGTCCCAACGGCTGACGGCCGTGCCATCGAGAATCATGTCCTGGATCATCCCTTGACATGGCTTTCTCCCACCAATAGCCATCACATCCTTAAGACACGGCAATTAAACCAAAATCTTCTTCTTTCTAAGCTCCGCAGCTTGCATGCAAATTCTGAAATTTCGGCAAGTTCGGGCCGAGGATCATTTACACCAGGACTCTTGATACAGTGCAGTTTAGAGAAGAAGTCTACCTGCAAGCATGCGGGTTACGTATCAAAAGACTCTGATACATGCCCTGTCGTGATGGCATGAGGCTTTTATTTCTGCATTACGGGCCACATTGAAGGCGTTGTCCACTTGCTGCCAGCCTAGGTCATCCTGATCTTGCACGATAGCAACTGGCTGTTCTCATCGAAGCACAACTCAAAGCGTCATTGGTCTAGGGGTTAGGATTCAACTCTTCCATTGAGAAAAGTTGAGGCTCGGATTCGAATTCCGGATGACGCACGCTTTTTTTTGGTAGTTTTTGTTCGTGAGTGGATTTTTGTAAAACGGGGTCATTAAGCGAGATGGAGTCCTGCCCCCCTTGGGATAATCCAAGGGATCGGGAGTAAGTACAAATACTATCCGTCAAGTAATGCATGGTAGATAACTCATAGCCTCCAGAAGTAGAGCCTGCGCTGATAGACAGGTATAGCAACTTCGGCCAGCCCTTGCGGCCTGTTAGATAAAGGGGATCCCTTTTACGTTAGATGGCTCCAGCCTTCCTATCCTTCTCTAAGCCCACCTACTCATTTGATCTGCTCGTGATTCTGAAAGCAACATCTCATAATATGGGTGCCTAAGAGCCTCAGCAGCCGTGAGTCGTTCCTGGGCACATACATTAGTACAAACTATCACATAGCGCCGCAGGATCATACTCGCCTTCGGGTCAAATCGTAGAAGCTGGTCAATTAGACTCAGAGCTTCGTCAGATACAAGCATCTCATTGTCCGGGTTGATGAAATCGGTCCAAGCTTGCTCATGATGTTGACCCAGAGCTTCAAGTTCCTCGTCGTTCAAATCAAGATCATATTCATTGACAAAGCGGTAGAGTTTGTCCGTGCCGAGGACTTCAGCAATTTTCCTCAGTTGATCAATTAACGAAGCCCCGTGAAAGAAAGGTTCCTTTCTGAAGATCATCGCTGCGAGCATAGCACCGAAGCACCACATGTCTATGCTGAAGTCGTATCGTTCGTAGCTGAGAAGAAGCTCCGGTGGCTTCCAGAGGCCCACGCAGGTGTCCAAATCTTCGTCGGGTCGGTAGAAGTCTGCTGAGCTCCAGCCTATTAGTCGGAGCTATAATTCGTCAGTATGCACCAGATCATGTTATTCGGAGTCGCACTTTTCTATTTTCGTGATCAATCACCACGTTGTGCGGTCTGACATCGCGGTGCATGACACCTTGGCTATGGGCGAAGTCCAAAGCTCTCAGAAGCTCGCGGGTGTAATATCGAATGTCCATGTCATTGAAACGAGGATACAGCGTTCGGAAATCTGTATTGTCTACGTATTCGAGAACGATGCCGATGTCGGATCCCTATGCCTCATAATGTCAACGCCGGTTCAGGACTGGGGCCTTGAAGGATATGCGAACCTCCTCACCTTGAACGGCATCGATGAACTTGATGATGTTGGGGCCATTTTCGAGATATTGGAATATCTCGAGTTCGCGACGAATCCTATCTCTGCTATCTTGCTTGAATAGCTTCATAGCGTAGATGCGGCCGCTTGAATCACGACACTCGAAGACGATTGCATGTCTTCCTCGCCCTATTTCAGTCGTGTTAGTATCTATCAAGTGAAGTAGACTAAGGTTTGGAATTACCTAATCGTTTTGGGGGCGACATATCATAGAACTGGCCTGCCAGTTGTCAGCAACGAGCCTGCAGCCAACTCTGCCCCGGACTTACCCGCCCCCGACTCCGGGTGGATTGGTGCCATCTTCAGGGCATTCAGACGCAGATCCGTTTTTTTCGTCTCTCAGAATCTTGGTATCATGATCGCCGAAGCTCGACATCTGATGCAAGGATGAGCTGTTGAAGCAGAAAAACCCCGCATAGGGCTGACATGCTTATTCAGCCAAAATACAGAAGAGGCTGGATAGTTACACAGGCAGCCTTGATGTCTCGTACAAAAATGGATGTACCTATTTGCATTGGCTTTTATGTATTGGTGGAACACGGAGACGTCTATTCATCAGCGTCGGAGTGAAGTTTGCTGATGGGAACTAGTCCAAGGCTCAACAGAATCGAAACGACGTGACAATGCTTCGCAGCCAAAGAATGCTTGATACAAGCAACAAAAGAAATGGAATCAGTTGAAGTGACAGTATAATAATATTGACTAGTTCTTTCCAGAAGTCATTTGTTAATTTGGCCAAGAATGCCAGTCATGGAAGAATTCTACGATCTGTTAGTTTAATTGTCCTGGTTACCCTAAAGCTTGATAGCTCGCCGGCAGTCGATAGTATGACAATCTTGTTCGCCGAAGAGTCGCTTAAAATTACGGCATTTCTTCATTTTAGGTTTGTCGGGTTACGAGAGAGAAACAGTTCTTTCGGAACTCGCCGTGAAAGAAAGCTGAAAGTTAGACTGCCAAGGCTGAACTTCTTGGGACTCTAACATTGGCGACTGGAGCTCATTCTGGGGCAGACCCAGTCACTAAGAACTAAGCTTATCTGATATAGGAAAACACCAGGTCCGCACAGATAACCCGTTGAAACTTGTGCCTCCAATCACTCAAGTCCAATCGAATTCAGCATGTGACACGAATATCCAAAAGCTGCAGTAGCATAAGGCGGATTAAATGAGTTGCTCCACATGTGAGAGGCGCAACGGCAAGTCTCTGCCGTTGGTGACTCGCGAAGCATTCTCAGTTAGGAGATGGCCGATGATCTGGCGCGCGCTAAAGGGGCCGTAAGGCCATGGGTGAAACTGCCTAACGCACAGCAAGGTACAGTTGTTTGATGAGCTGAAAACTTAACATGCAGGGGGGTTGTGGCTGCCCTGATCCTTTGTCATGCGTTATGGTTAGCCTGGACGTCCTTGATCCGATCTGGATGAGAGATGCAGAGGCCGTCAAGTTGGGCATAACGCCTCCCGTCTTCCTACGGAAGACAGTGAGTTACTGATGCACCCAGTCGTGCGGCTGAACACGAACTAAAAAGATGGAGGTCAGACCGATCGTGGCACTAAATGTTTGGTGTTTCGTGAGGGCATTCAGCCTTTTTACGAGGTGGGGTGCCGGGAAATAAGACATAGCCCAAACATTAACTACAATAGGAAGCCCCTTAATCCAGCCTAATGATTACCGCCACAATCGTGACTCCTCGCCTTGAGACAACCTTAAATACAAAGCCCGTGGAATCCTTCTGTTGGTTCGTCCATCCCATCTGTTTTGAGTAAACTCTCGTTAACAGCCTTCCACTCGTTATTCTTTCTCCGCTTCAACAACCAACACCAACACCTTTTTTAATAATACCCAATCACAATGCGCTCTGCCATCATCCTCGCTGTCGGCGCGACCGTCGTCGCTGCCTCGCACCCTGCTCTCGAGCGCCTCGAGAAGCGCGATGCTAAGGAGTGCGCTTCCGTCGCCTCCAGCATCCTCCCCGACCTAACCGCCATCCCTACTCCCGACTCTTCGCTCGCGAGCTTCCTCGCCAAGCAGACCGATGCCATGACCATGACCGATCAATGTGTCATCCCCGCCGTCACTGGCTCCATGGCCAAGGAGTACACTTCCTACGCCTCCAAGCTCAGCTCTTGGTACATCGACCAGAAGGATGGCATCTCCTCTCTTCTCGAGGCCTGCAGCGACGTTCCCGAGGTCAGCTCTCGCATTGCCGAACTCAAGGAGACCGCCACCATTTGCGACAAGGTCACTTGGGCCAAGGAGACTGGCTCTTCCTCTTCTAGCGGCGATGCTTCTCAGTCTAGCGACGCTGCTGCTTCTAGCTCCACCGCCGACAAGGGTAACACTGCTGGCGTCAACTCCATCAAGGCTATTGGCGTTCTCGCCGTCGCCGGTCTTGCTGGTGTCATGATGCTGTAAAAGCTTCATGCCTGGTGGGGGAATAATAACGGACAATACCCGTGGGTGACGGCGTCTTGGCTTTTCGATTCATTTGGCCTGGTGTACTGGTCTCTAGTTTTACTCTAAAAACACTCAATACAAGCGTTGTGGCTACTGCAGCCTTTCTGTAATTGCCTGACTCCCTTGACCATATACGCGCTTAAATGTCATTGATGCGCTTTTGTATTGACGTGACGTGCCTCTCGCCGAGCCATTATTCTATCAATGCGCGGCCGATTGAAGACAGTCTCGGCAGAGGCCCCGATTGTTTGCATTCCCCAGTTGCGTTGTTTGTAGACCCCCGTGCGCCATTGACACCGAATGATTGCCAAAATTTGGGGTAGAAATCTTGGTGGGCCCGGGGGTCATTAGCCGCGAT